ATCATTTTTATACATACTGAAACAATTTATAAAAATAAGATTAAAGTATTACAAACCAAAAGCTACATATCTAGCAACACTAAACAATTAACTCGATTAAACTACATAAAAACATCTTAGGAAGCTGACAATGTAACGATAATGTGAATATTCACATCCGTGGTCAACGGCCAATAGAAATAGCTTACCACCTTCTTAAATATTCAAAGTTCAAAGACCCTAATATAATTTATATAAAAGCATCTATTTGCTCACTGCATATTTACATAACGTGACGTATTTAATGGCGATTTCCAGTATTTCTCTCTTATATACATATTTGTATGACATTTTAATACACCGATTTATTTTACGCAATAACTACATATTATACGCTGTTGGATACTTATAACACATGCATTGTTTCGATTCTATGGTCAAATATAGGTGTAAAGTGATTTGTAAATTTAAATACATTGTTAAACCAGTTCTATACGGACTTTTCCTTCGATTCATTATAAAATATTTTGACCTATAAAATGACTACTGATGAATAAATAATTAAAGGGCATACAATAAGACTACCATGTTTTTAAACGTCATCCATTCATTATTACAGATACCTGTTAATCGTTTTACATTATATTTTACACTATTTAACTAACAGGCGTTTGCCATTATGCGTTTTAACGATTGTAGTTTTGTTAACACTGATTAAAATGTATAAAATTACTTAATGGGTACAGTTATCTATATTCATACTAAATATTTGTAACATGAACCTACGAATTCATTTTTTCTTCCTAGTTTTATTTTTCACACTAATATTTATTATTTGTTTCCAAGGATTTTACTTCTCATGTATATTTTCTACGGCGTGATTACCGTTTCGCCAATTAAATAACCTCGCCTTAGTCTAACTGGTCGACGGCATGCAATACAAGGTGAGTGGCTTAACAAAAGAAACAGAATCTAAGAAGACGACGTTATTTCTTTCTCTGAGTTAGTTTAGTACTGACTGCAATGTAAGGAACATAGTTTAGTTTTAGGAGGGAATTAAAGATCGGAGACTGCACTAAGCTTCACTTCTTTGGATCTTCTTTTCGCTATTGAGAACAATCAATCCATATGAAAAATGCGCATGCGCATAGTTGTTTTTTACTCATTTTTATATTTCTATAAAGTAACACTGACACAAACTCTTCATGTAGTAGATTTTATAGATAAATGAAATACCTGCGTCCACTAAACACTACTAAATACATACAAATACTTGATCAACTAAATAACAGCATTTTCTTTACTATTAAAAAGAAACCTACATGAACCCATCGATGTCTTCATTATGCAAACAATTATTACAACAGTTACCAATCAGAATTATTTAAACTTTCTAGAAATCTTAAAATGCTAACGAACCGTTCCTACAATGTTTACCTCAGTCGTAAAGGTCAAGCTATGAGGCCGTGGCTTAACGTAAATGCAGGTCATAAGCAACATCATATTTCTTGTCTTCAACATATTTGGTAAAAGCTAGGGGTATGAGACTTATAACAATGTAAAATGAGACGTGTTTGCAATAATAAAGGCTCCAAATTTGCATAATATACTTACTGTCTGTTATTTTTATTCGCTTACAAGTTGATAAATAAAAATGTATTGTGAGAATATTTAGTAAAGATTAATGAACCCTTCGTATGTCTTATGATGTCACTGCTAAAATATAAGAAATAAAATATTATTAAAAATCTCTCACGCCATCATAATAAGTGTGAAATTCCCATTAATATTAATGAATGTAATACAACAACATTGTTTAATATTTTCAATCTCCAAGCGTAAGCAATTATATTTGGAGTAATTATAAAAGAATTTAATTGCAGCAACACGTTCATCCTAACTTAAATCATCTTTCCAAACAAAACCTCCTTTCTAAGGAGAGGCTTATGTCCAGCAGTGGACTATTAAAGGCTGTTGATGAACTTAAATCAACATAAATTGTTGGGTTTTCTTATTTTAATAACATGACATGACAAGACAAAAAATATATATGCATCAGCAGTTTCCAGTTTTACCACCTTTATATTTACTACTGTTATTCCTGGTCTAAGCCTGATTTCAAATAACTTTCCTCAAGAATTACTTTCGAATCCAAAAAGAATGACAATAGGTTCCACAAATTGAGTAGGTTATAAAAATTCCACAGCCTTATTTATGTTGTTTGTGGCCACAATTATGCTGTTCTATATTAATAACGATGAACAACAAAAACACATGAATCTTGGAATCGAAATAACTACATATTAAGTTTTGCGAAGGCTGAGCTCGTACAAATTGTTTTGTTTTTGCATTATAAATAAAACTCATTCATGGAACTTTAACCATGTAGCTAGTGGTTCTTTAATTACAAGCATTCGGGAAACAAAACTTTGATTCTTTTTCGTGTTTAGCAGACATTACGCCACGCCACGTTCATTCATATTTGGAGATCTATCTCAATAGAAGTTCAGATCACTTCACGTTACTGTACTAACTACGAAAAATACTAGATTTACCACATCAAAAAAAATACTTGCTTTGAAATAATATTTTCATGGTCTCTTAACAAAAAAAATTGCGTCGCGTCTCTTTACAGAAATTTTCACAAAACAATACTCGGCTTTAGGCTATACACTTTTCGAGTAAAATAATTGTTTTTAGTCTCGGCCATAACTTTTAGATGGTTCTCGCTTTTTTTTCAAGGCAAACATGCTCATCCGGTCTCTCACTCTCTCTCTCTCTTCACAGGAGGTTTCCTGTTGAGAAAGAGAGACAGAGTGAAAAATGCTTGATGAATGAGAAAGCAGCGCGCATTCAAGTAAGATAAGTAAGATACTGTGACATCAAATTCGCAAAGTAGTCACGTACCAGGGTCCTTACCAGGGCCAAGCACTCCATACCTTATTCTTAAATATGTTCCTGATCTTTAAGGTTTTAGAAGTATGTTCTTAGATAGGTATTAACAACCTCAATAAACCCTTTTGAACAACATGTGGCCCTTACTTATGAAACATATCATTACTGCTTACTGTAAAGACGTGCTGTTTAGAAACAGCATTGACCTAATACTGGGCTAGGCTTTAAGAACAGAAACTTGAATTTAAGATGTCATTAGGCATCGTTGTATACTCTTAAAGTTGATCCTCGTAAGCTGCGTTCTTCAAAAGCTTTACAGAGTATGCTTTATGCGTCTGCATATAAATTAGTATACCCACATTTGAGTTTGCCTCAAAAGCAATTATCAATGCCAAAAAGTGCTAAAAATCATGTGTGATTTAGCTTGACCAGACAAAAAGAGAATGTGGCTAGATTTAATAGTGACAGACAAGAACAGGTAAATCAAGTTTTGCACAGCCTGGCGCATCGAACTTTATCATGTTACGTCGTTTCATTAGACAATCATTTCGTAATCTTAGATGTATGCTTTCCTTGCGTTTATTAATATTGCTCCGTCTTAATCACGTCGATTACTACAGTCGTTTGTAAAATGATTCATTTTGTAACTCTGTACCTACATACACATCATCTGATATTTGTGTATTTTGTTGACTTTGTCATGTGAATTTGAAATCCTTGCACATATGTACGGATTCAAAATTGGCCTAAAAATCTTGATATTAATTTACTTACATATAGATTAAACAGCGATGACTCTGGTTTGAGACGTCAATAAAAATGACACTTTTATTTTGTTTTATTGCTGCTTCAACAATTTAAAAAAAAGATGTTTTGTGGCAGTTTGTTAAACCTGTTTTCAAAGATGCAAGTTAGTAAGTGACTTAATTGGACATTTTTATGTAACAGAAAATATACAAAATGTTTCAGAAATTGAGTTATTTATGTTTTAGAAGTCTAATATGCATCTGCAAAGTGATTAAGTTGCAATGAAAAAAAATTTTTTTTTTCTTGACTGTTCCTATTTATCTTACAAAGAACATTCCGGATCGGTTACCTACATTATTTTAGAATACGCTAAGTTCCTATTTTTAAACATTGCAGAAGCGCGATATAGGATAATGTCACAACTACAATACCCGTAGAACTCACCTTTAGTCACTTACAGTGACAATTTAAAACATAATAAATTGGTTGCAGTGATTTCTGTTATCTAAAATCTAACTTTTATCTTTTCAAAGATTAATTTAAAAAACAATAAAGTATGTTTATTATAGTTTTATTTGTTTTTATAATATTTTTAATAAACCAACTCTTAGCTACTATTTATTTCTATCCATTTTACCAAACACATTTCTAACATTTACAATATCATGTAATGGACTTCAGACAGCTAAAATTAAATCAGTGCCCATAAATCACCACGCTTCGCATTACAAAATTGCTATGAAAGTATCTAGAAACCTTTACATCTAAGCGAAGAACTACAAGCAAAACATTAAATCTGCAACAAGCTCACCTATGTTACATAATAATGTACTTAAGTACTGAATATGGGCAATCAGGTAAAAAGGCAACCCTGCTGTACTAGATTGCTTTTTTATTATCGGAGCGGGCAACAGGTAGACTGTCGCATGCCTGTCCAATGAGAGCGCCTCGCCAGCCGCTTGCAAGCAGCGACTGCCAACGCTTCACGGCTTGACCATACCTATAATTACTGACATATAATCGCCTCTTTATTAGACTATGTGAAGGAGGTACTAGTGTTTTCTGCTATAATTGATTGAATGAAATGCAAAAATAAATGTTTTGTACATTGTCGGCAATGTGAATTCGATTCAAGTCGAAACAATTATGTTTACGTATCTTTATTCAGTCGAAGAAAACAAAAGCGAATAGTTCAACTCATTTCTGATTGCAATGCATCATGCAATAAGTTACTAATTACGAAATATTGTATTAATTATATCATAAATATTAATCACTACACATAATGTTTTTAACTTAATCATCCATTAGCTAAGTGTGTGAAACTCAATGCTAGGCTAATACTGACAACATCTTAATTAACAAAAACAACTGGCTCAATGAAAGCAGTTATCAAAATCTTTAAGAAAAAATCCACATATGAGAGATTAAAGTACATAATATATCACGGAGAAACCTCACGACGAAGTCAAGAGCCTCGATTCGAACTCGGGTACCCGGGCTACCAGCTACTGTGCATTTCAGCTTTAAGAGCGAGACAGCAAAACAAAAGAGGACCGCGTGTGAGTGAGACAGATAGAGATGCGCGCACGCAGCACAGTCTGTTCGGTAGTAAAACCTGTGCGACTCACCGTCGTGTGCGAGGCCGATCGCATCGTCCGCTCATTCTCTCAGTTGTGTCTCCGATCTACGAGCAGCTGGTGTGCTGTGTGGGCCCCCTGTTGCCACTCGTTTTACTATAACCGCTTTATTATACTGTATGGAATATCCCTTTAAATACAATGACGTGAACTACAAAAGTAAATTATTTTTAGACATATTATAAGTGAGACTGTGATCAGTGTTTGTGTGCAAAGGACTAGAAACTTACGATCGTATAAATTTATACACCGGAGTGGCTGGAAAAGTAACAGTTAGGTTTAAAAGGTAAGTGAGTTGTGTCACAAAAGCTTAGTGGAATGGATTGAGCCGAGCTTAACTCATATCGACGACGCGAGGAATGCTGTTTGACAGCATACATGTGCGGGAACAAAAGTCTTGTGCCTAGTCATCCCATTTCCTTTTTTATTGCGCCCGTGATTTGGTGTGGTAATAAATATGACTAGGGATTCCGACGAATGAAAGATTAGTTGACACAATTTAAGGTAATTATGTAATGAATTTAATACGTGACGTGTTATTTTCAAGAGCATCGTGCTCACAGGTAGCGAGTCTGTCCCTGTTTACCTGAGCGATGGCTAGGGGGAAAGGGACGCCGCCCTATTTACCAGGAACTACATTTCAATAGAATGAACAATGGAGCTGTATTTAAGGGATGAACGGGTTTAACACCACAGCATTTAAATAATAACCACGTTGTTTTATTTTAGAATTACTAAGAAGGTCTAAGATATACACATAGGCATTGTACACGCAAATTTTACGGTCCATCAAACTCCTTTGGAGATGTGCCGTTCAAGGACGCGGTGAATTAAGAAATAAAAACAATCAAACCACTGCCCACTTAATTTTATTACCCGGACATGTTCATGTACACACAAAATAACAATTACATTGAGGGCGGCTGTAGAAACTTATTTCCTACATAGGTAATAAACTTAAGTACATTTCGTAACGTTCATATTTAATTTAAAGTCTATTATTAACTACCAATTTGTCATATAATTACCATATAGCTGAGGATGGATATTAAAATTTACACTGAAGTGACATTAATGTAATCATTACTGTCATTATCTAAGGAGCCAGGGTAAAAAGGTCAATGCACATATTATGTTTTAAATTTAAATTTTAAATTGCGCGAGCTTAGGATATTATTGGTTGTCCTATGTACCGTTTCAGAGTTTCTTTAGTGTGACACCACAAAAGGGGGCATCTTTAACCAGTCACACATAATATGCTTGTCACGCCACGCGCACTACAGCACCTGCATGTTTGATGACGCCCAAGCGCCTGGCGATAACCTCCAAAAAAATACCTTGAACTTGCAAAGTTATTCAGTATTCATTACTTTTGTTATAAAAAATATGCAAGCACTAATTGGCATTAAAATCACGTTCTGCTCAACGTCTTTCTTGTCTCTTATGTTGTTATTTAGACTGTTGCGTGTTAAAACATGAGATGTGATAATTTTTTCGAGTTTTTAATACGATTCCTTTCTATTAAATTATAAATTTAAGAGGGATTGAAAGATAGTTAGGAAATTAATCTAATAACACCTAATACTAGTCTTTTATCTCCCTCATAACGTATTCACCACACAGATCTAACTATTGGCCCGCATAACTTTTACAAAGCGAGGTTGTGTTTATCAAGCCATCAATAATTAGAATATGCATCTTTGACCCAACAGAGATAACATAGCTGTGTTATCCGAGTACGTAAAAATATCTTTGCAATAAAGAATTGTATCAAAGCATGTAATTAAAAGGTTTGTGAAACTTGAGCTAAACCGCATTATCGTAACCACAGGAGTACTTTAGACACATTTCCGTATGAATAAATTCATGACGAAAGACCAGCATACAACAACAGCGGAAGTTGTGATCGATGGACAAGCTTATCTCTATACATAGTACACACACAATTCAACGGTTTCTTTAATATATAAATAACACCACGTGTTTCCGCAGTAACTTCGATATAAACACTGCTAGTAGCAAATGTGTGACAATCAACGCAGTCAATGAGAGTTAATTATATGAGGCACGAGACAACAGCCTGGTGACTTCGCTGAACCATTGCTTCGCCGCACGCTCGCGCTTGGTCCGAACCGGCCTAAATTACAACAGAAGCGACAACCCGAACCATTCACTCGCAATGCTAAATATCAGAGTTACCTAATATTCCAATCAATCGTTTCATGTCATTGGTCACGCTTTCTTGTGAAATGCTTATTGTCCGACCAAGCTGTCGATATGAGAAGTTGAGATCCTTTCCCACGAGTCATGTGGGTATTGTGTTGACTTTGAACGTGTTTTGTATATTATAACCATCGCAATTAGCTTTCATTTACTAGTGACAATGCGTGTTTTGTTCTAATGAAATAAGAACCACAGTTCTGTACGGTATAGCACACGATCATAATATATTAATTTCTCAATCTTATACTCGATACGAAAATTGTTCTATACTTAACGTTTTTAAGTTATGAGACGGGCTCATAAACGCAAAGTAATTTATGACAAAAGATAATAAAACTGAGCAGCATAAAGTGGCAGTGATAAATAGTTGGCGGTAACAACAGAGTGGAACAAGGATATGCAGTTAAGAGCGGCAGACAAAAGATTCAGGGACGGAGCTCACCCGCCTATGCATGCACGCCGTGCATGTCATAAAAGATGGAATGTTCGCCTCGTCTCCCCTCTACGGTCCGAGTTTCAGCCGCGGCGTTTAGCAAACAACGGGATAATTCGAAATGATTCTCGTTTAGGATTAAGACAGATAGACGTTAACCAAACAACTACACAAAAAATTTGACTATGAAATCGATTACTGGAAATGTGAGTAAACTTTTTCAAGTAATAACTTTGTAGACTAGGAATTGATTTCTTGGCAAAAATTGTAAAAGGAAACTTGCCGAAACGAAAACATCTTCCAAAACTAATCGATTATCGAGATCTAGCAACGATTGTCGCCGTTCAAACTGGTTTCCGCGTAAAATTCGCGTTGCCAGGCGATGCATCAGCCAGGGTCGGTTGAGGCAAAGCAGCAAAGGGGCACGGGAGAGGAGGGAGGTTATAACGCAGGAGGCGCACGAACAGCGGCCGGTCGACGACCCGCCACATGCCCTGCGCCGGCGCAACATTCGCCTCTGCCTCGGAAGATCCTAACACAACTACGATTATGTTAGGAAAATAGTAAAAAATAGAAATTTAAATAAGAGTATTCGTGAAGTTATTACGTTTATTACAGAAATTGTACGGTTTATGTAATTAGTAGTAAACTAACATTTTGATAGTTAACGTAGACATAACATATTACATTTGTGCACAAGTGACGTTAAAATGACTATTAAGTGACAGTTATAAAATGTTGTCTCGATAACGATTTCATAACAACGAAATATCAGTTAACACGCCCCCCGCGTTCGACCCAAATAGCACATGTTAAGCGACATCAGGCGCGTAGGAACGGGATCAAGAAGTTGTCAAGGTTGGATCCATTTATCATAAGTTGTCTAGAAGAGCATTTGTTCCTACTCATTCATTCCTATACCTCAAACTCTAATACACAATCACACAATACTCTATCAATCCAATACACAATACTATAATCACAGAAAACCGATGTTAAGCAATTCTTTCGTTGCTTTACAGTGAGTGAGTGAGGTTTCCGGAGCCCAAATCCCCCTACCGCTGACTCGACTCTGAGGGCGGCAACGCACTTGTGACTTTTGAGTTGCAGGTGTCCTTAGGCGGCGGGGGTGGCTTGTCATCGGGTGACCCGTCTGCTAGTTTGCCCTCCTCTTATATCATAAAAAAATATAAATTAAAATAGTTCGTATGAAAAAGTCAATACAATGAGAGAGACCACATTATTTACTTCGTATGGACGCAACATATTAAGAAAAAGCATTGGTTTATTAGAAAAAAAAACTGTAGTGGTTGAAGCGTGGGCGAAACATAGTTACGTGGTTGAATTATGTCTGAGGTCATCACTTAAGAAAACTAGGGTCGATAAATTATAATAATAATAATAATATATCTCACACATCTCACACACGGCCGTCTGATCCCAAACTAGGCAGAGCCTGTACTATGGTAACCAGACTGCTGATAAACATACTTATATATTTTTAAATACATACATATTATAGATAAATTACACCCAGACACAGAACAAATGACCGTGCTCATCACACAATATTTGTCCTGGGTGGGAATCGAACCCACGACCTCTGGTTTAGCAGTCAGGGCCACTAACCACTAGACCAACAGGCCTGTCATTATGATATAAATTATGTATTTTAAAAGTTAAAATGTACATTAAAATTTGTTCGAATGAAAATAAATACACTAAAACGTGGCTCCTCACAGCTGTTACACACATTTACCGATCAAAACAACAATAAAGTGTACCGTATAAGTTCTAATTTCGTATGGATGACGTATGGCACTTGTCACCAGTTTAGGACGCGTCGATTTAATTATGGGTATCTTTTGTTAAGTTCTATTGTAGAAACAAAGGGTTATTTTGGAAATCAAATTGTGTCCATGTTAAATAGTTCATCTCTAATCGCTGACTGCTGTATGATAGTGTTAAAGCAATTTCTTGTGATTCAATTCATTGTGATTCAGGGTTGTCTCTGAATACTAAATAAAAGTATTTAAACTTGTTCTTTTTTTTATTTTCAGACAACGAAAATAGAAAAATAATTTATAATGGCGGTGTTTGGCTTGGTGTCGTCGGTGGCGGGCTTCGTGAAAGTCCGTTACCTGATTGACAAGGCAGTTATCGACAACATGGTGTTTAGAATGCACTACCGCATCACCTCAGCTATATTGTTCCTGTGCTGCATACTCGTCACCGCTAATAACCTTATTGGTAAGTGTCTTTATTTAAAACCTATTCTATAAAGCAGCTGTAACGCTATAATGGTCTTTATCGATTTCATCATTACAGCAATTCTGTAGAAATATACAGAAAAACTATAATACCGAAAGCAAAAGGTCTATGCAACAGCAAAAGGTATATAAGTTTTCAATTTGTTTTATAGAACAGATAAGCAATTTGCAGACAGACAGAATTATTATTCAGTGATTTGACTACAGTTGTTTTGTAACGAAAGCTTACAATGATTTATGTATACATACTTTTGTTTTTTTAGCAAACTCAATTCCATATTCGGATTTTTGTTTTAAATCAATAATTTATAGTAAGGATGACCACTATCTAGCATCGCTTGCCATATATCGATTTCAAACATAAGTTTTTTTTAAGTTATGGGTAATTTAAGTACAGAAACACAAGTACTTTAAGATATATCTTAGAATATTGTAAAAGTTTTTTAAGACCATCTGCTAATTGTCCAAACGAACCTATTTGTATAACAGAATTTGACCTAGACAATAACCTACAGACCGGCTAACACAAAGACTCTAACCAGAAATAACAGTCCTTTCAGACGATCTCGTAACCACCACAAAAGTGTGAATCACTTTCAGGTCAATGTTCAGAGTAGGAACTCCGTGTGTATGTAACAGTTACCCAAATTGAGACGTCATGACAAATTGGTTGTACAAACATACACATATGCACAGTGGTAACCGTACGTGATAAGATTCAATTCAGTGGAGCGAAACAGGTCGGTGAACTTACACGGTGCTAGATTATGAAGACAAGTGTTTCTTGATACTGGAAAGTTGAAGGGTGATATTCTATTGAGAAAAGGTTGCGGGCAATAGTAATTAAAACAATGAGTTATTTGTTTAACATGTTTGCAGTGTAAAATGAGATTGCTAAAAAAACCATAGGTTATTAATTAGACGATTTAACTTATCAAGTAAATGAAAAATGTGTTCTACGTAGGTTTCTGACATGTGGATGGAAGGTATAAGTTACTACGGTTAACTATAAGCATAGAAATTATATATTCATATGTCTTTCTATAACACAACTCATTTAACTTAATTAAGTTTACTGCTTTTCGAGAAAACCAACAACATTTTTTTTTTTTTTACAAAAAGTCAACTAAAACTCAGTCAGTAAGTTGTAAAGTTGGTGTTTAATTTTCACATTCAACTCGGAGACTAATGTGTTTAAACGGCCATTTTCCCGTAGTACCTACCTACTTACATTTTAGACGACCATGCAATTCAATATATGTATTATTTGGAATTCGAAACTCTCTCTCTGGTGCACAATCAAACGTCATAGGGTCAGTGAAAAAATATTATACGGTCTAATTGTGACGAATGATCAACGAAACGTCGACGTTAAAAGGTCAAGGCATTTTTTACAATACTCATAGATATATTTCAGTTTAAAAACTTGCTCTAATTCTTTTTTTATGATGATAACATAATTTAGCGATTGAGATGTATATACATACGAACGGTAAAGATATATTAAAATATTTATCTGTAGGTGTATCTCGTATTTTTGTTATAAGTATTATTCTTTAACAAGGTTTTAATGTTTTGAATAACATATCAAAATTAATATATAGCTGCCTTATCATATGTATCTCTAGTTCTAAGAGCATGATGGCACTTTATGAGAAAATTGGCCGCTTTATATCTCTTTATTCACCCAACGTCTGCCTAGTTAATCTAGTAGACAGGCCGGGACTGAGTTGTTGGTGAATGACGCAAATAAGCATCACCACAACATAGTTATAAAAATAAACTACACTAAGTTGCTTTTCTACATATATTCATATGACACATCGGTCATAGATCAATCCTAAACAAAAAAGCGTTTCATTACAGCATTACGCACATTAAAACTGTAAACAAACGTCCTAAAACAAACCTAAACACGTCATTTGGAATACATTAACCCTTTTTACTGTGCTGATTGGTGTGCTAACGAGCCTTCTTAGTTGACTGTAATTTATAAATACTACATTTTATTCAGAAATGTCACACATATTGTAATTTAAACAGATTTTGCAAATGTCTCACTATTAGTATACAATACAGTAGTGACGTTCTGATTCTAACTTGTGTCACGAATTCATTGGGAACTGTTGAATGTGTACCGGCGTTTAAAAACAATGTTTACAGTGGCGTTATCGCGTGGCCCTCATTAGACGGGCTACAAACATAAACAAACGACTACCTAATATTGTTAATGGTCCACTTGTAACTTACACTTATTAACCATTTAAAACTATAACTACTATGTTGTGGCTTCCAATTAAAATTGTTGAATAAGCTTTTTATTTTCTAAACGATAAAATAATACTGAAGATACATGCTATTAATAAACAAAGTTTATATTGTTTTGTTTAATTTTCATTAGACAATACTCATTCTTATTGCCGTTGCTATCATGCTATGTTTGCTAATTTGTATTTTATACTGTGACTAGGTATGTTGGCGGCCATATTTTACGGGCCTGTTGGTCTAGAGGTTAGCGACCCTGACTGCTAGGCCGGAGGTCGTGGGTTCGATTCCCACCCAGGACAAATAATTGCGTGATGAGCACAATGTTTTGTTCTGTGTCTGGGTGTAATTTACCTATGATATGTATGTATTTAAAAATATATAGGTATTTTTATCAACAGTCTGGTTACCATAGCACAGGCTCTGCCAAAAAAAAGTATTTCACGTATTCAGACCAAGATTTAAGACTATTCTCTAATTTAGAGAAATAGTAAATGTAGTAAAGTTTTCAATTCAGCACAGTGCCTGTCAAAGTCATTTCAGTAAGTTAAGGATGCAAATTGTAACATTATTATTGCTTCGAAACTATTACCACTATAGTTACGTATTTTAAAGATATACTTAGAGGAAAATGATTTAATCCTTCTTGTTTAGGTAGGTACATTCAACTTAACTGTAGCGTCAGAAAGCATGATTAAATACTGCATAAATTTTTGCGTTAGGTCACGTTTGTGTGTAATATAGGCAGTTAGTCAGCAGTACATATTGACTTTATATCAACGGTGCAACGTTGCAAGTCGTGACATTTTGCCCTACATGGAGTCTGAACAATCACATTTGTGCCTCAGGTGTTAGTAATCAAACAACTGTGAGTGAGCGATAACACCCGTAAGATTGCTGTAACTATGCACTATCAGAACTACCTTAAAGGTTTCGATATGACCCGATTGGTAGCAGTTGAATGAGGTCGTTTGACTCTCTGATGATCAAGCAACTACATACTGCAATAAATTATAAACAAGTCTTTGTACCATATATGCATTATAAACAATAACGTAAACTCGTAAGTTTGCGTTTTATGCTTTTTTTATTGATCTAAGTTTGCAAACGCGTGTTGCCAAACTGCATAGATACTTTATTACTTTCAGGTTGGATAAAACAACATGTTTGATACACATGTTTTATATCCAATCTGAAATTATTTAAAATAAAAATTAATCGTTGGCACCTAGTAGTATAATAGTAGTAGTAGTAGTATTTAATATAAAACAATATAATCATATTTTTAGTAGCAAACAAAACCTACCAACGAATAACTGTAAGTATGTCATAAAGTTAATATTACGATGGGCATTGTTTAACGGCATGACCTAAATTTTATTCATTCAAACACTTATTCATAATTTATTTTATATGAGTTTCACATATCTATAAAATATTTGTTGTGTTGTCATGCTGAAATTATGATATGCTTTCGTGGGCACCTGTATTTAAGAAAATTACTGATGTCTCATGATATAAACTGCTGATGCACCATACATTATAGTTTGTCGTTTAATTATATACTTTTATGTATGTTCATGCATTACTTATACGCTTATGAAAACAAATTATTTAATGTTTTTGTACTCAGTTCAGTATTATTTTTCATAGTTTTAGTTGCTATTCGACTTTAAACTTTGGTTATATATTCAAAAGTATGTAAAATACTAACGAACAAGAATGATATTTATTTAATTTAAACCTTTCTTAACCAAAGTACATAATCACAAGCTTAAATGGCTGTTTATGTATATTATATGTAGGTATATGACAGTTAAGCTCATAAAAAGCAGCTCGCCGTGACCTAAAATGCAACTAGCAATCGCAATAAAATATTGAGGCTGTTGATAAAAGCGCATATAACGAACCTTTTACCTACATATGACATGTTTTCCATAATTTATGATTAACATAACTAGAATAACTAGACCGCACCACTATTAATTGCAATTAAATCAAAAGCGCTGTAATAGAAACTGCAACGAATATTCTAATATACAAAACCTATTAGTATAGATAATATTCTGTGCTCACATTAACTTCATTTAGAACAAGAAATTCGGTGGTAAGCGACTTAAAAGAAAGAAGAGAAAATATTATTTATTTCATAAACTTCAATAAATTATTACATTTAAACAAACCTTAATTTCTTTTAAATCACTAATGCTTATATCAGTCTTCCTCAGTTTAGATGTATTAATTATGACTTATGAGTGTGTACTGCTTTGTTAAGAAAGCCATAGCTAATACATATAATTATTTAATTGTAACAGTACAAGAGTCAAAATTTTCGGTGCAGTGCTTGCAGTAATGTGCCACTAAAGTGGACTTTGCTAAGTTCATTCAATTGTAACGGCTAACTAACGAGTCAATGTACTAAGAACTCCAACACATGCTGCATTTATTAGCATAGCAGCAAAGACATTGATTGATTAAACAAACATGCTGCTATGACATAGATTGCATCCTTAACCCCAAGACAAATAGTTGCAAGTAGTTCGTGTGAAGTAATTAGCATAACATGTGACTGCTCAATTCGATACTCCTCATGCTGACTCAGACATAACACTATCATTATGATACGACACCGTCAAATATTTCATCCTCCTGTAATTTTATTCAAAAATATATTTTTATACTTGAAATTGCAATGATTTTTTAAATAATTCCTTTTGTCCATCACTGGAGAACACGATTGCTAATATATTTTTTTAATGTCTCTGCCTACCAGTAGCAGACAATGACACAATATGAACTAAACTAATCTGCTTACAGTTTTCTAGTTACAAAGATTTAACCAAATAGCAGCTAAATGTCACTAAATACTGTAATTATGTTCTTGTTGTTATGTCGTTACCTCCGAAAACGAAATTATCAAAACAGCATTATGCTCATGTAATAGCCGTTATTTAGCAATCGGGTCACTCCCTACATTGTCACATAAACCATATTGTACCTGTTTGGGTATTGACGTTTTTGTGTGGTTCAATGTTATTCGAGACGAACAAGTTTAAATGAGATCATATGACGTGGCAAGATAGATAAATTAATCAGCTCTCTTTAGCATAGGAAAAATTACTAACATTTGACATACATTGGCTATTTATAAAAAATATTGGTACGCCATTCCTGTCGGTACGGTCAAAGTAATTTAACATACCCGTTTTTTTCTTGAATATCTGAACTAGGTAATTAATTATACGACAAAGTCCTCTCAATCCTCTCATCGACCAAGGTGATTTGAATCACGGTCGACAAATTGCGACAGGTTGAGGGGCAGTTGCACTATTACATTCAATATTAGTGTCATCCGCAAACGCTTGATGCAATGTCACGGTCCTAGGTATGGATTCATCTAAATATAATCGTATAGAAATATTTGCCTTTTCAAGGTACATTTTCTGTTATAATAGGCATGTTGTACTACTGTACTTTGGACAAGCATTTAAGATTATATAGCGAAGGTAATGATTGTATAGGGATTTGACAATTCAATAATGTTAACTGGAAGATAAGTAGTAAAACTCGAATAACAACAAAGTTGCACCAAAGGAAAAATAAAATAAAAAATATGTTTTGCCCGACATTGCAACACAGTGACTCACTGCGTCTTACATTTAATCCACGTCAGGTAATAACCGCAAAGTGAGAATTTGCCTACGTGCCTTGTGGAGTCTCAATTTACTTTCTTAACATCAGCTGTGGTTTACGAGTTAGTAATTTATTAAGAATGCAAATGATCACTAACCACATATTTTTGTAATCAACTATGTCAAGCCAGTGACTCGCCTGATATTAAGCAATAAGCTGTATTTGTTAACACTCGTAATTTCTATACTAAGACTTATTGGTCATTTTTATCTCTTACTTACCAGCAGAATAATAGTACTGTTAAAACGCGATATTCTTCAGCTTTGAGATTCCTCTTAGAGACGGCGGCTTCACTTTAAGCCTGTGTCACAAATATTCATGAACATATGATAAAATTGAATTCTTGTGTTCCAGGCGACCCGATCTCATGTATTGGCGATGGAGCGAACCCCGGCCACGTCATCAACACCTATTGCTGGATTACTTCTACGTTCACACTTCCATATAACCCCCACTTAAAGGACATCGCCCACCCAGGTCTTGGTCCGGAGACCGGAGAAGGCAAACGTATCCACGCCTACTACCAGTGGGTGCCTTTCATGCTGTTTTTCCAGGTAAATAGTTTAATAATTTTTATTTAACGATAACTGCACTTTATTTAACGATAACTGCACTTTATTTAACGTTTTGCTATAAACGTAAGTACAATTTTGTTTATTTAAGATAAGTGTACTAATATATTTATTAATAATTCTTTGAATAATTTTATGTAGCTAATTGTAAAGCGTGGAATTTGCCTAACATAAACTTTAAAAACTTTTTAAATAGTTTTTATTTAATGAAGATTGACAACACGAATACGTTACGTAAGGGGTTCTGTGTTCTTGCTTGTCATTTTTGTAGTATAGGTGTTAAGTTATTCATTTTTTATCATTTTACTACACTTCTCGGCTAGTACTAAACTATAGAGTACAAAGTATTTTTAGCAAAAATATTTTTGAAATGTCTAAGAATTCATTCAGAGTAATGTAAATTTTTAGGGTCTTCTTTTCTACGTGCCCCACTGGATCTGGAAGAACTGGGAAGAAGGCAAAGTCCGCATGATCTCAGATGGCATGCGCGGTACTGCTGCTACCATTGCCGATAACAAAGGCAACCGTCTGGTACGTATATTTAATGAGACGATATATTAACATCAGTAACTCAATAATAAGCTCCGTATAGGTCTCTCGTTTCTATATAAAGTGGTTCAATTGAGATGTCGTCGTGATGAACGTCCTTAATAAGACAAATTAAACGGGTCTTGAAAGCTAATAAGTAACGTATTATTCCGCTGAGATGATACATCATAAGGTTAAATCTTAGTGGATGTATTACATTGTATGTTCTGTTACAGAATCGTCTTGTCCAGTATTTGTACGAAACCAGGCATATGCACAACACTTACTCCTTCGGATATTTCTTCTGCGAGATGTTGAACTTTGCGAACGTGGTACGTCTTTCTTTTATTTTATTTGCAGTTGATACCATTACTACATTTTAATATGATATTAATTAATTACTTCATATTGTAGGTGGGAAATATATTCTTCTTGGACACATTCCTTGGTGGCGCTTTTCTAACGTATGGTTCTGAGGTAGTTAAGTTTTCCAACATGAACCAAGATCAACGAACTGATCCCATGGTAAGTCTTATATCCTCGCTCATAATCAGAGAATAATTAATGTGTACAATTTAAATTATTGTTAAAAATAGGACAATTAACTTACTATTTTACAACAAAGAATATTTTATTCATAAGCTGAACATTTATTTGAAAAATCTTCAAATATCGCAAATTTTTTTATTTTCAGATCGAAGTATTTCCAAGAGTAACAAAGTGTACATTCCACAAATTCGGTCCCACTGGAACGATCCAGAAACACGATGCCCTCTGCGTTTTAGCGTTAAACATTCTCAATGAGAAGATTTTCATCTTCCTGTGGTTCTGGTAAGTTGATATTAGCAACATTTTTGTAAATTCGTAGAAAAGAAAACAGCAATATCTAAAAATTTAGTTGTATTGCAACTTTTAAAACGATCTAGTTTAGCTTTTACAACAACTCGTTCCAAATTCATCGTCACTTATTTGTTAAAAGATATTATATATTTGTTATATGGAAATATCTTTAAAGCAATCATTAATATTTCAGGTTCATCATCCTATCCGTGGTATCAGGCTTAGCTCTGTTGTACTCTGCAGCAGTAGTTCTATTGCCCAGTACCCGTGAGACTATTCTCAAACGACGCTTCCGTTTCGGAACACCCCAAGGTGTCGAATCCCTCGTCAGGAAAACTCAGGTTAGTATCATTTACATGAATAAAATTAAGTTATTTCTTTTAGTCTAGGATAACCAACAATAACCGATCCGTCAGACATAATATGGACTTATCAGTAAGACTTATCCATAAGTTCAAAGCAATACATACGTAAACAATATTTTTACGCAATATATTTTATATATATTTTTAACAGATACGCGTCAGATGTTAGACACGTTAATTATAAGAAAATTCATATTTTCAGGTAGGGGACTTCTTACTTCTGCACCTCTTAGGCCAGAACATGTCAATGCGTGTTTTCGGTGAAGTACTGGACGAGTTGTCACGACAGCTTCAAATGAATTCTAACGCACCTTCAGCCCCATCCACATTAGAGATGGCACCGATATATCCAAATATCGATAAGTACGCTAAAGAGACGGAAACGTAAGTCTTAAGACTGAGTAGGAGCATTACACTCACAGAAATCTAAGAATTTTGTAAGTCTGTCTCAAATACGACACTTGAGGTAGCTGGCAGTGAGATTCCTATACAATCTGTTTGTTTTAAGTTCTCAAGTCTGGTGTTAGAGACTTTTCTACGAAGGTTTTAGTCTAACGAGGTGCAATGCTCCTTTTTATTAAATAATTGTAACGCTCATTCGATATAATGTAAGAAATTCAGATTCAACGACACGATTGACCATGACATTCCTTATTTTACCTGTTTATATAAGACAACAATTGCCGTTTCGCCTTGAGCTTTAAAATTTGTGAATCATTTTACAATTTAAAATTAGTAAGTATGTAGTTTGTTTATACATTTCGTATAACTTACATAGCACTGTTACGATGTGGAATTACTTTCTGAATTAGCATATTATTTTTATTACTATATCTTTTTATTATCATATACACCTACATTAGTTTGAAAACTTAGCTTTTAAGTTAAAACTCGCAGGTAAATGAATTTGATAATATTTAAAGTACATATACAATAGAAACATTCAGTTCTATTTTAGCTATAGCATTTATGTGAATGTGGTATTTTTGGCTAAGTGTATTATGAGCTACTGTTAACTTGGTCTCATTTTAGTTACAACTTAGATAAGCTGCCTATTTTGCAGGTTATATTCCTTATATTATCACTAGAAGACATTAATTTCTTTATATTTTTTCTTTTGTATAGGCATTTATAAATATAAAGACAATCAAAGCATCCTAAGTTAGAATAGTTTTTAAATTACTATTGTAAGACAATCCATAATAAAAATGGTATAGTAGTCCTATTACAGCAAAAATTAGGCAATTATTTTGTTGGAGATATAATATGATAACAACACGAATAAACATATCGACTATTAAATAAGTCTTACAATATATCACGTTAAATATGTTAATTATTAGTATGAATGTGCTTTTCCCTTGGATTTAAGTAAACATAATGTGGTTTAATATGCATGTATGTAAGTAGGGCTGCCATTTTTAAGATAAATAAATAAAATAATAAAACACTATCAAGTAATAGAAAAAGACATTTGCTGGCTGAATTATATTTAATTATTATTAGTAAAGCATTCGATTTAAGAAATAAATGAAGTTTTCAAATTACGAATACTTTCTGATTTAATGTAATCTTATTGATAAAGAGATGTTGCTTTTAATATCATTTTTTTTACCTGAATGAACCATTTATGCGTATAAAGTATCTACGTAAATGCGAAACTGCACATAGTCAAATTTTAGATAATGTAAATATCAATTTTAGTGATTGATAACAGAAAATATATTTGGTACTATTAAGAAGAGATTGGTGTTGATTAAGTGGATTTGAAGTCTGAATGGAAATAAAATTGACAAGTTGTATTGTAAGTTCGATTAATACATTATACTCATAAATTGTTCCACATGTGCCATTTAATAAGATGTTCAGATGAGGAAAGTTCAAAATTCTCAGTGTATCTCAAGCATCTGTATAGATTAAAATTTTGAGTAGCACTTAGTAATAATAGTTTTGTAACAGACTTTCCTGGAATCTCGAACTGTCTTCCATTACACTCTCAAATGAGAAATGGAAAGCAACATTTGCCTGTTAAACTAGTGTAGACTTATCATTCCTGTATTAAATGTTTTGTAGTTTTTAAAATATTTTTTCTTAAAGTGTTTCCATGTATATCTGAGACTGCAATAATAATTGCGTGTGTCACATGTTTACATTATATTTGGTATTAAATGACTTTAAATAAAACCGTTCATTTTATTTCACTTTCCAAGAACAACTTTTGTAGTGTAATTTTATGTCAACTGTTTGACTTGGCACGCTGGCACTAAACTTGTAATTACCTACTTTTGAGAGCTAAATAACATTTAAAATTATTCGTTAAGCATCTGGTGAATTGTTTACACTTTAAACGCAAAAAATATGTTGAATATCAATGCTTTTACAGCGCAAACAATTTTTATCGCAAACGACATAGTATCACGCTAAGTACGTTTCAATCACAAACAAAACAGATGTAAGATTTAAGGTAATGAGAGATGCTAAGTATTTACGTATATTATTTATGTACGTATTTTCTGCACTTAAACAAATGAATGCACTAAATATATTGACATTTATGAGTTAGATAACGTTAAACGTAAAATTTAATTTAAACGTGGTACAATATGCCCAATATCGATTAATTGTAGACCAAGGATTATTGAAAAGACAGTGTAATGAAACATGTGTCACCACCGAATTTCTCAGGAACGGGTTACCGGGTTACCGGGGGACCTAGCAAGTTGAAATTTATACCAGATACTGAAGTCTATGGTCCCTATTAGGTGTATAAAAATCAAGGTCCTGAGTCAACACGATAAAAAGATATGGGCAAATTACGATTTTGTAAACTTGTAAGTACCAAAATTTACCATAATTTTCAACTTTTTTATTTTTCAGAATTTTCTCTTTACTTGTGCAGTAAGACATTGCTCTTGACCAAAATTGACAATTCTAGGTCAACCGGAAGTACCCTATAGGTTTTGGGTCGAAAACTTATATGCTGGTTCCCGTTGACCTAGAATCACAAAATTTGGCAAAAAGAAATGTCTTACAGCACAAATAAAGGAATAATGCGACTGCACGGATAGTGGTTTAAGCGGTCGCCGCGCCGCTTCCTATTACGCCGAGTGTTGTGGGTTCAAACCCCACATGGAACACGTTTGTGTGATCCACAAATTGTTGTTCTGAGTCTGGGTGTACTTTGTGTCCGTTTCATGTATGTTTACAGGATTTATTCCTAGTGCGGGAGTAGTCTTTTAAAAAAAAAACAAAAATTCCAAAAAATAAAAAAAGTTAAAAAATTAAGATAAATTTTAGTACTTACAAATTTTCGCGAAAATCTACGTAAAATTTGGGTAGGTACGGAACCCTTGGCGCACGACTTCGACTCGTACCTGACTGGGTTTTTTATTTTCTTTTTGACAATAGGAAATATGCACGTGATACCAAAACATGGGACTTATAATGTTTAAGTTGTTATGGTGTAGACTAGATACCAAAATTTACAAAATATTTTTATTTGCAAAATTTATTGCTAAAAAGATAAATATAAGATTATTTTTGATATTGTATCATATTTTTTTTTAATTCTCTCGCAAATTTCTAAAACGCAACGCTATTGGCGGAAAACATCGTCACGTCAAATTTTACTCGACGTCTTCTGTCAACAACTTGCTTGTATGGTTCCTGGTGATTATTATTTTGTTTTGCGGTTGTTTCATATTACGTTATTAGTTTTCTGTGTTAAAGTATAATATCCTTGTGAAGAAAGATTAAACACAATGACTGAAACCGGTTTTGTCAAAGCACAATCAGATGATCTTCCTAAAATAGACGTGTTTATAATGATCATAAATGGTTTAATACATATAATTATTTTCAATCTGAAACCTAGAAATAAAATTAGAAAGAGAAATAAAATTAGTTTAGAACTTCCCTCTTACTGTTTAGGTAGGTATAGGTTTTCATTCATAAGCAAGCATAGGCTCTTATGGATAAGTACCTATGTATTGATATTGATAAACAAAATTTTTAACAAAAAACACTATTCCAAATGAAACTATTATGCACTAAAAAGTAAAAAAAATAACTGCATATTCTTCTACAACTTAATAATCAACTTACTTTTCCTACTCATCAATATGTAGGTACGATCTATATGTTTACCACGCAAGAAGGTAGGTACCTACCCATTTCAAATCTAACTGAACATATACCTCCACCTACCAACTCCTCCTACCAAATTGCTCCTAAGAATTGAAGAGTTCCGTTACTTTGTCGTAGATCCCATGATCAGAATCTAACCAAACTCTCATCAAAGTATCCTTAAAGTACATCCATTCCAATAAAAAAAGAATTATCGAAATCGGTTTGCGTGATATTGAGTTATTCGTCTGTTTTTGAGAACCTCCTCCTTTTTTTGAAGTCGGTTAAAAAAATATAATTATTTTAAATACTAGCCAAACATGTTTTGTGGCTTATTATACACATACATACTTATATAATTCTTATAAGTACAACATAGTCATGAAATGTATTGTAAAAGAATAGAACTAATAAATAATAAATCTAGTAAACTAGGTTATGTTTACATCAAAGTTTGTAAAAAAAATGTGCATAGTAACTAAGTAAAATGATCTTCACAATAGTATTAACAGCTAAAATACGATACACTGTCTCTTCACATCGCCTTACACCACTTTTTTCTTATACCTGTATCTTTCGGCATAACGAAAAATACTTTGTCAGGTGCAGTTTTGATGTTATTTTGGCACGTAGGAAAGACACAGTATTTGTAATAAAAATTTCTGTGCCCTTCTATGGTAATAAGTTGATTTTATCACTCACTTTATTAACTTTCAGTAACTTTGTGAAGCAAACACTACGTTTTTTGACAAAGAATTCTCTGTAATCTGACGTCACAGAACAAGCGCACCAAAATGGCCGCGTTTAAATCGTGATTTTCGTAAAAACAACAGTTTCATATTTTATATTTCGGGTGTGTTATATTTAATTTTGGTAGTGTTAACACACTAGAAGAAACGTTAAAAAAAAAAGACATGCATAATCCCTATTGCTTGAGAACGTAATTAGGCTAGTTTGTAATAGTTAGCTTTAGTAAGTCGAATAAAATATTTTTGTTTCTTTCTAAGAACGTCTTAGTTCATTAGTCGAAATACATTATCAATAGCTATAAGGTTATTAGCAATAGGGGTTAGCTTTCCATTGACGTTCCGTAGAGTTGAGGGTTATAATTTTTTTCACAGAAAGATTACATTTTTACACGCAAAGTTTCAACATGTGTAGTGTTTAAAAAAAATTTACGAAAATTAATTATGTATGCAATATTTATGCCAATCGAGACTTGATTTACATTAAAAGTCACTTTTTCTATATATAAAGTCTTTTTTTCAAGTGAAAGTAACTTTTTGCTTTGTTAAGTTAAATTAAACTTCCAGGTAAATAAAATTAATTATAACTTAATTAAATCGGCTACGTGTTTGCCGACAACGCACTACTTATCCAACTGTCAATGAAAATTAATGAATGGGCTGATTAGAGGGAACATAAAGCCCCGTGCAGCGGGCAAGCGATGTCGCGCGACTTCGGTCGCGGTGGTACGGAGGTAGGTACGGAACCGGCACGAGTTCGACTCGGTTGACGACTGACCGGTTTTTTACAAATATTTAAAATATTACAAAAATATTTTAGAGTCGTACACATACATGTACAGGTGTTTATATACATGTACAGGATACTCTCACGCTCGTAATAAAGCTACTATACAGCCTTGCTATCAATTAAATATAAGTGTGTGTAATTTGTAGGGTTACAACTCAATAAATTACTTCAACATATTTTACTATATACAGTACAATATGTTGCAGTAATTTATTTACGAGAAATCACAGAATTTAAAATAAGTAAGAAATCGAATTTGGACAGGGCAAGCGCTCTAAAGTTATGAGCAAACGCTCACCACTAATGGAAACAGTAAATATTTTCGTACTTACGTATATACTTTCGCTGGAAAACAAAGAGAAAACACTAATAATACTGAAATGCTCCGAGTTGTGCGCGTTTCGATCAAAAATAAATTTACAGTAATATTGAAAAAAAAATAATTAAGAGATAAAACCGTTATAATCTAATCTACTTAAAGACTTACCTATACATTGCGTATCTATGTTCGTATATGAGTAGTTACTAACTATGAAATCACGAGACCCAGCAATGAACTGCAGTGCTTACAGGATAGATATTGCTATCCTTTTTGCACCAAGATATTTAATAAATATCAAGTTGCACACTTCAAAATATTGTTGTTGCAAATCTGACAGCTCATTATTGACGTACAGCTTGTACAGTTGTACAGTCTTGGACCTAAGAACGAGCAGTGTCGCCCTTATACTTACTATTTAAATTACAAAATGGTGAATAAAAATTTAATAAATCCTGTGTAGCATTGGCACATGGATATGTGTGGCAACAAACAATTTCGAACAAAATATAGTTCAAACACAGAAGTATATATTCAGTGTTGAAATGAAATTCTGCTTTGCAATAATGCAATCTATTAATATTTTGCTTACCTATTCCCCCAGTCTAGTTTCGCGACAAGTTTCAACTTCAACGCTCGAGTTTGGTCCTGAGTGAGCGTTCCCGCGAGAAGAGCTCGTCGCCCACTTAACAACTCTCTCATGACTTTCGCTACTGCACTGAATCTGTAGGTCTCCCGCTCCTGAAAACAGTCATTTCATTATTACTTATATTTATAAAACACCTATACCAGCTGTTTTATACGTTAACATACAACATCCATATATTCTACAGATTATAAGAATCTGTAGAACAGTGGGGTTTCAGTCTACTACGACACGGATGAACTTGATGTTCCTATTTACCATTCTTAACACATTGAGACCCCTAGGCAACCGGGGCCTAAGTGTTAAGAGTGGTCACCCATCTATAGACGAACCTGGCTAGGATTGCTTTGTACATCTATGTCCATCTATGTATTTTGACTGCACGGATGGCGTAGTGGTTTAAGTGGTCGCCACGCCTCTTATTACTACGGGACGACACTTCGTGTGATCCACAAATTGTTGTTTTGTGTCCGGGTGTTCTTTGTGTCCGTTTCATGTATGTTTGTAAAGTCCCCCGCGACACAGGATATATTCATAATGCGGGAGTTGTCTTTTTTTAAAGAAAAAGAAAGAAAGAATGTATTACGGATGACATTAGTATTCGCGAAGCACTATCAAGATTCGGCAAGCCGTCTTAAAAATATATTATCTAATCTAAACAGTATTATCAGGTTATTTACTTTTTCTATCAACTTTTCACTTTTAATCTCTAAATTTTCTGTTTTTTTTTATGTTAGTGGGACAGACGAGCAGACGGGTCACCTGATGATAAGCGACTACCGCCGCTCGTGGACAGCTGCAACTTAAGGGACACAAGTGTGTTGCCGCCTCTGAGTGAAGAATTGGGAGATGAAAAGTAACGAGAGAATTGCTGCACACCGGTTTTCTGTGAGGTCGTGATATCACACCGGTCGAGCCGGCCCCTATCGGCCGTCTAAAGGTTGTCCTCGCACTACCGTATTTTTAAGTATGGAAAAAGCCGTTAACTCAGAGGATCCTGATTAGGATAACCGGCCAAATTTATCAAATGATTGTATTGTCATCGGTCCTTGTTAAGTGAGCGAAGTTTCAATTTAATTCGACGTTTTCAAGTGGGTCAAAATCATGTTCGAGGATTCCGTTACATACATACATACCAATTAGTGTTTTAAAAATCATCAAAATCAGCTCAGACGGTTTGGTTATCGATTAGCGAGGAGTCTAGATAACGTAATAATTATTTTTAGACCTTAGATTGGCTATGACATAATCCACGGAATTAATATATCTAATATATATATCTCGCACATCTCACACACACTTCCGTCTGATCCCAAACTAGGCAGAGCCTGTACAATGGTAACCAGACTGCTGATAAATATATATTTCTAAATACATACATATTATAGATAAATTACAGACAGACACAGAATAAATGACCAGAACAAATAATCCCATCTAGGCCCAAACTAAGCAGCGCTTTTACTATGGGTACTGGACAACTGATATTAATAGATATATGTATACTTTTTTTGTAAATACATACTATACATAGAAACACCCAGGCATAGCCGTCCGTAACACAAACTACTATGCCATCCGGCCGTCAATGCCGGCTTAAATATAATTATTTAAACATGTAATGGTACATTTACTTACGACATAAAGTTTTTTCCACAAACGAGCCCATTCTCTGAGAACACAAGCAATCTCCCGGACCAATGGATCATCTTTAAGTTCCGCTATAGCTGTAGCACCTGTGCCTTTCACGATGCATGGTCGGATGGAGACCACACACAATGGGAATATACCCCACGCCGAGCGGTTCTTTGAGCTGAAGCCTCTGTACCAAGCTGAAATGTAAAATACATCATTTAAATTACATAAAAGTTCTTATGGCGCTCTCTATCAGTGGCGTAGCTAGGGAGGTTTGAGGCTGTGGCGCACCAGGTCTCACCTACTTAGGGGTGACACCCGACCGTAAGCATCAGTAGTGCCGTGTATAATTTTTTTTAAAACGTAAAACAAAAAGCAGAGCTGGACAAAACCTTATACCGACTGTGTGCAATTCCTCATTATGCTACCTTTTCTTTTGGAATTATGTGCTAAGGGAAGTGAACAATGTTTAGATTGCATTACAACGGCTTAAGCGTTGATCAAATAGTCATAAAGCTAGAAGCAAGTACTTTCATTGAAGAGAAACAGATGCATGTTGTGAAAGAGTCAATAGATTTTGCTGCACAATAATCTGAAGAATACAACGTTCCGATGGAACAACGAATTCGTCGCAAGAAACGCATGCCCGGTGAGTTAGCATCGTCCACCGATGCTGAACTTACACTTAGAGCGGAACTTCAAAGGGACATGTTAGAATGTCTTGACAGATTAAATATTGAACTTGAAACAAGATTAAAGTCTATTCAAGATGTAGCTTCATTGCTTGATTTTGTGCAGTCAATGACTTTAATTTTGGCAAATACTGAAGAGTTAAAATTTGCTATATCAAAATTTACTGACCTGACATTATACATTATGCAATGGGATTTTAGAGAATCTTTTCCGAATCTAATGGTCGCACTAAAGTTATTTATAACAAAATGCGTTTCAGTTGCTTCATGTGAGGAGTTTCAGCAAATCAAAATTATTCAAAAATGACATGACATGACATGACAATGACAATATTTACAATATGCATAGCCAACTGTATTTACTATGTTGCAAATCTCCACTAGAAATCCCATCTATAAAATTTTTACAAACCTAAATATCAAACACCATGCTAATCTAGAACCAGAGAAAGATGCTGTTTTAGTGGATGAAAGTGTGAAATATCAAAGATTATTACCTCCATTTTCTTCTAGGATTTGTACAGTTTCTCCTATCTCCAATGGTAAACCCGATCTAACATCTCCCTTCCAGTTATAAACAGCTGAAATCAAGAAATAAACTTAATCTATATCTTGTGGACACTTAATGTATGGTTTATAAAGTATGAAAAAGATAACTTTGGCTAATATTCATGAGGCACTTGAAAAAGGGTTATTGCTTATCAAAAGTACCATTAAAACATATATTATAAATATAAGAAGTTTTAAGATAACAATACTCATATTTTTCACTAAAACAAATGGAAGATAAATATCAATGGCGAAAATGAGAGCCCCTTTACAATCTAGCTATCTTTTTTTTATACTTATTATTAAATAAAAAGTACAAGTGTTATGTGATATGTAATATAAATCACAGACACAACTTATCTCTAGATCAATTAGGCTCTCATGTTGTTACAATCACATTTTCAAAAGTTTATGTACTAAAGGAGAATGGAAACTGATTTCCATATTGAAATGGGTATTCTCCTTTATTGTTTTCATGTTTGCCATCTCCTTTGGCTCTAGTCCACTTCCCAGGAAAGAACATAGGGTAGTTTTTATCACAGGAATTATCCTTTTAGAATGTGAAAAGGGGGGTGGAAGTTTCTATATAGGGAATCAATAACTGCTGGACCGATTTAGATAAAATTTTGTATGGAGATACTTTGATTCTTGAGGAAATAAGCGGCGCTAGTGGTTAAGGCATTGAATTTTGGATCAAGAGGTTATGGGTTCGAATCCTGACCACTAGTACACTACGACATGAACCCACTCCTAACACAAGCATTTTAGCTTAGCTGGAGGGGTTAACGGGAATACTAATAATTTTGGTTGCTAGTAAGCCTTTAAAAAAAAAGATGTTGTTGTTTGAATGTGGTAGAATATTATTATTATAATAATATGTAATTTATAATTAGTATTGTGTGCTGGTGAGAGAAAGATAAAATTAAATAGATTAATATCAACTTAATTATGTTCAGTTTTTTTTAACATTATTATTTTAATAAAATATCATGGGGCATATCACATATTGCTAAATGGGCTAAACTACAGATCAACATACATAGATACTGTATAATTTTTTTATACTTGTAATTAATACATAGTATATATTTTTCATTTGTTGTTTCAAATCCATATCTCTATTTACAATTGTTAATCACAATATCTATTAGCCATGTCTATTAGTCAACTTTTACTAGAAGAAAAAAATTAAGCATTTATGCTAAAAAAGAATGATCCATAATTATGTAAAGCATATTACATAAACTGAATTATAAATATATGCATTTTGAACAAATGTTAGATAGTTTTATATAACTTGTCATGTAGGACATTGGGTATTTTTTAAATTAATTAATATAAAAGTAATTTTTGCGGTTATGCTTTTGGATGGATTATTCGAGTATATACAGAATGTTCATATAACAACGGAAATAAAACCAGACATGGACGAGAAGAACAGTCACCCCGTTTATAAACAAAGCAGAACAAAGAAAAGAAAACAAGATTTATGGCTTAAATGAGTAGTAATTATGTGACAACGACTACGGCTTCTCTTTCTTTCTATATGCCAGTGTAAGAAATAGTTAAAATTCATAACATGTTATTACGTTTCCGCTGTAATTGGCAGGATGTATCTGTAGCGCGTAAGGTTGATTGATTAAAAAGTTATAACTTACCGACTGCTAGCTTGGGTGACTTCAATGAAATCCACATTTTTGTTCCACACACTGCCAAATTCGTCGACTTTCGTAAACAGCACTCGCTAAATCATTATAGAATTGTTATTTTCATCTGAAAAAAGATAATCAATTCTATATACTCCAGCGTTCGATCAAGTCTTTGACAACTCGCTAGTGATGCTAACATATGTTTTGGAACAAAAATGATTGCTACAAAATTCAAACTACGGTTTATGCTAATAAGTAAACAAAAACCGTCTAATGATTATCAGTAACAATGCTTATTTATTAATAATCATACTATATTAATTAATTAATTTTGTTTTGAAAGTATGTTGGCTTATTTATTATAAATTGTAATTATTTATAAAAAAAGTTGTACTTCTTAACCCTTTACTGTTCAGATCAAGAGCGCATGGAAAGCCTTCTCTGTCTTCTGTAAAGCAATAATATTTAACTAACTAAGAAAGGAGATTGTGAAATACGAAAAGAGATCTGAGTAAAACTCCCTTTGCCCACATCAGAAAAATACAAATACAAGGAGAATGAAAGTAACAAAGGTGAGACTAGTGCCTGTGTAGCGGAATCATGTAGCGAGATAGTATTTAGCCGGTGTAGAGTCCGACAGTCATCGTTACTTGCCCATAAGTGGGCACTCATGGGCTAGTAAAGTAATATCTGTGAAGCTAACATAAAAAAAAAACAAAATAAAGTTAAGTTTAGATAACGCTACATTTATTTTTAACGTTATTGACATAGTAATGTTTTAGTATTGTAGCTTAGCACAAAGATGCATGCAATGTTAATTTAAGATGTTAAAAGCTGCTATTATTAGAATAAAAACATAAAAATAAAAATAAAACGTATTGAGTTTATAATAGGGGTTAACGTATGAAAATGCCATTGTAGAGTAATAGATAATTTGACTTGACATAAAACCTTCATGGTGTGAGATTTTCGTGTGAAACTTTGTTCACATAATCACATTTAAAAAAAAAATTAAGGCTCAGGTTACAAGTGATCGAATTTAAATTAAAGTTAAGAAATCATCTCGCAGTTAGTGTTGCCATTTTAGTGAATTTGTCACTAGAAGTGACAATTATTTCGTTGCGGCTTGGTCCGATGACCAAGAAATTATATGATATATTAAATTCAATTATTTTATGTTCATCCCCATGCCCCCCCCCCCCCCCCCGTCAACGTGTCTTATGCAATTGCCAAAGTAAAATTCCGAGTCCAGCCCGTGGTAGAAGCGGTTGTAGCGACTTTTGTTACATGGCCTAACGGCTCGGTTCGATAACAGGTGGGGCAACATTGCTCACACACATCTAACTCACATCACTAGACACGTCATCTCACAGAGTACATTGTAATATACTGAAACGTCATCTTTACTCTATGACATTCATCTGTCAGTCGTGCCATGGTGTTTGTTTTGTCGATTCAGTTCTGGTTATTTCTTATTTTGTATATGTATATATATTATTAGCTGTATATATATTTTACTAGTTTAAGTTTTATCATGCCTGTAAAAGATAACAATTTATTCATTCCTATTCTTTCATTCTCATATTTTTTTTTTTGGCTCTACCACAGCTCTACATAAAATCCTTTGACAGTTTGTCTTTCAAATACATGACATTGGCGAAATTGTGGTTAGACTCTACCACAAAGCCATTAACCAAAAGTTGAAGTTGACATTGGCAACGCCTTTAGTCGAAAGTTGAAATTGAAAGTGTGTGATTATTAAACATAGTTTTTAATAATGTCAGGTTTTATACCATTAAATCAAAGTACTCCAGTTCAGCAGAGATATAGAGAGCCTATACGAAATCGTCAAAGATACCAAAACTATAACTTTAATCACTCTCCGTACACTCAAAGAGGAAGTGTACACAATAATAGATGGAGTAATCATTCACGGAGTAGTTATAGTGTAAGTATGTTTACATGTTGCTTGCTACATCTAATTTATTATGATTTGTATACATTTAGACATTATAAAACCTTTGAAGTACATGTTCTGAAGCATTCCATAAAATTGGCTGACTTTAGGTTAACCACTGTAGTATGTGACTACATATTGGCTCCGCAATTTCAAAGGCCATTTTGCAGCCATGTAAGCTGTAAACCATTAATTTGCAATGTCCAATTGTGTGAAAAAGCTTAGTTGTAATATTGTATAGCATAAGAAAATTGTTTCAAGAACTTGGCATATATGTTGTCGATAATTTTGAAACCTAGCAAAGACATTCTTTGCTAGATTTTTAAATTCATAACACAACCTGTAATAATTTCAATAATATTACAAAGTTTAGAATATTTTTTATTCAGGAATTTGTTAGGTCCCTGTAGGATAAGCCACAAACAAACTATGTAAAGGCAAAACCTTTTGAAGAGTGATACAGATGTGTCTTATATAGCATTATGCTGGAATATGAAATATCTTTTATCTGAATGTAAGTGTAGTTAACAGGGTCATAGTCAAAGGGAGAAACTAATAAATAAAGTCATTGAGTTTTATCCAAAATTTATGTTTCATCGTTTTATTATTTTGGCATATAATATTTAACAATCACTTGGGTTTAACGATAGTTGAAGAACAATTTAATCACAACTTTATCTTAGTAGTGAACCATGATCTATTTTATGAATAAGTAGTAATTAACTTTTTGTAAAGACAAAGATATGGGACACATTTTGATCTCTTGAAAAGAGTGCAACTCATTTTTTTGGACCTCCTGTAAAAGTCATGTGGGGTCCCTTACTAGGATTTGCAATTGCACAACAGATATTTACCATAAGTACTGATGGTTTATTGTCAAAAACTGTAACCATGTATACAAATGACATAACATGCATAAAGATGCGGCTGGGCTGGGCCGGTAATATTTTGTTAACATTAACCCTGGCCAAAACCAGTGGTGGTGAAACCATTTGGATTAGCAATCTTCATTGTGCTGCAACTCGAAAGTAATTAACTTAGCGCAGTTATAGTGCACACAAATAAATTTAAAACTGTTTAATTTTCTGGACATAAATGTAGCCAGCAAGGCCTTTTTGGAAACGTAATAGAGACATCTATATGTGTTACTTGTAAGCATTATAGTCTTCTTAGCATATTTTTTTGGCAATTCCTGAATTTGAGACATTGTTATCAATGAGTATAACAAATAGCAAAATAGAGTACAATATTTATCACTTGTTATATGATTTCAGAGCAATTCAAGTAATAACAGCTGTGGCCAAGAAAATAGGACGAACATCGATGCATATTTAGACCCATCCATGTTACAAGATCCCTGGGAGAGTCTGCGACAGAAGAGTCAGTGTAATGACAGAAGCACATAATGTACCTACATGTTGTAAATATATGTATAAACATTTTGTAAATATTTGTAACTAAATTAGGTAAATATGTTCTCTTAAAATAAAAATTATTGTAGTCTTAATAGATTGTTTTCATTATTTAAATTCCCCTAATCTATTCATTATTCTTATCAAACTAAATACTTTAAATATCAGTATGGAAGCTGATGGCAATAATGTCGACAGTTACCGCAACGATCAGGGCAGCAAACCGAAAACTGTGAATCCAGCTTAGACTGAGTGCAGGTTCTGTTTTATGTGATCTTCTTGATTTACTATACCCACATAGGTATACAAGTAGTTTACAATGAACTGATGCCTCTTCATTAGTGGATAGAGTCTTAGGCAAAGAATGTGGCAAACTACAATAATGTGTGAAATAGTTGCTTGATCGACACCTACACAAACTGTAGCATTCAGTTTTACTTTTAACTTTTATGAAGTATTTGTTTAGTCTAGGTGACCATGTTTTGGTGATAGGCTGTATGCATCACAAGTAGAAGATGGTGGATGAAAAAATCCACCGTCACAACCACCCACAATCAGTGCCGTAATTAGAATTTGCCCTTGCAAAAATCTCTAATTTCGCGTTCGATAAATCATATTCTCGTATTATAAAGGTAGTAATACAATAGGAAACACTTGAAGGAACAAATGTGTGGTAATTTTAATATTTTGTGTTTAAAATGTGTGGTAATGGGTGAGTACGTGTTCGTGTTAGGCACATTTTGGGTTAAACTAGTGAACAGCAATGGTATATATTTGTTTGATATGTGTTGTAGGTGGTCTATTTGTATGTAAGGATCGGGTAGTTGGTGGTCGCTCATTGGTAGTTGGTAAGTAGTTTATTTAGTTATGTGCAGCGTACAGCTAAACTATCTATGAGGGCGGTCCAATAAGTACTTAGACACAGCGCCCGATGGCGCCACTATCGCAAGAGAAATTTACTATCGTGTAGTACATCCTCGTAGACGGCTACTGTTCACTACTAATTTCAGCCGAAACGGACTTTTAGTTTTGCTTTGACCGCGTGCTAGCGGGCATGTCCGCGGATTTTAGAGAAATGAAAAAAGCAATATCGGTCGGTGATTCGAGTTTTGTTCTTGGAAATCAAAGAGCGATGCTGTACGGTGACTCTTGTCCTTCGATGGCGACCGCCGCGAGACCACTTTTTTAGTGTTTGACGCTGTTTAAGCGCAGTCCAAAGGAGTTTTTGCGTGGTTTCGTGACTGTCGACGAAACATGGACCCACTGGTACACACCAGAGACCAGGGAACTGTCGAAACAGTGGACTTGTAGAAATGTATTTAATATCTGTATATATAATACTTCCATGGTGTACAATAAAGAGATAAATAAATAAATAATTTTGAACAACTTCGAGAACGGCACCGTGTACCGGTTCCGGTAGTACATGTTCATTGAACATGACCTTGGTTTTATACAAGTTCATCCGTAGGCCGATGCGTGCAGAAGAGTCAGCTAGGTCATTCAGCATCTGCTGTAGGTCCTGCAACGTCTCTGCCATGATGACGATGTCGTCTGCAAATCGCAAGTAAGAGATGTATTCGCCATTGATAGTGATGCCACGCTTTTTCCAATGCAGCGCCTTGAACATGTTCTCCATTGCATTTGTAAACGATTTCGGGGAAATAACGTCTCCTTGTCTCACTCCTCGATTTAATGGTATGGGCCTTGTTTGCTGATTCTGTACTTGGACGGACATTGTGGCAGCTTCGTAGAGACATTTTATCACTTGGATGTATCGCCAATCTACTTGGCAACGCTGCAGGGACTCCAGAACAGACGAGATCTCGATCGAGTCGAAGGCTTTCTCATAGTCCACGAATGCTAGACACAGGGGCTGATTATATTCTTCGGTCTTCTGTATAAGACGGTTTGTGATGACTCTCGAAAACAGCTGACTCTTTTGCGGCAGTGGTTAAAACTTATTTTTGTTAGATAGCGATTTCTACTTGTTACGACTGCAATGATGAGGATCTTTTTTATCTAAGCGACATCTAGTGAAATAAAAGGGAAATTTTCACTAATATTTGCAAATCATGCAAACGTTAAACTTTTTTTTTTCTTTTTTTCGTGCGGATATCCCCTCGTATACCACCATGTCGGACTCGAACCGACTAAAACCGCACGCCGTCTTGGGTACTAATAGCCGGGGAACCAGGTATACCCTAGAAAGGAAGTCCCTGGTGCCCCGACATACCTCGGGCCATCTACAATAAGTAGACGACCCCCCCCCGTGTGGGAACTCCATGTTCCCTCTGCTCCCTGGAAGGGAACGCGCTTCGCAACGCGCTGGCCGCCACCCCGGCCTGCTTCTGCTAGGGTGACAGATGGCCTCACCTGTCACCCCCAGGCTTGCGCTTATGGAGGACGGAGGTCGTTCTGCGGCCGGAAGAGTTCTAAACCTCTCCCGGTCCCGCTCCGCCGTCTCCTTCGCGAGCATAACTTGCTCGCAGAAGGAGACGGCAGAGTTCCACGCACTCTCGCTCCGCACGATCGAACCCAACCGAGCCAGTTCATAATATATCATAATAGTTAATAAAAACAAGTATTGGAAAAATAGGTTAAGAAAATAACAATATCATTATGAGAATAGAACCAATAAAATACGGCTAAACTGTTAAAGTAATAATCCTCTGTTATAGCGGTAAGTTCTATGCTAGCGCCATCTACACTTTGGAGTCTACACACGGAGTAATATCAAATTATTTCCGGCGGACACTATTTCCTTAGGGGTTATCGGTCTAGTGTTTTAATTGTTTATGTGTCATGTAAGAAAATCTATTCCTTACATCACAGTATCGGGAACAGACAGTGGTGGCTCCGCCATTACATTTTTAGTTTAGGAGTTTAAGGAAATAGAATAAACTAAAATTTAAGAAGAGGTACCTAGTACGTACAATAAATACGGATGTTGTGCGGTGGGGGTGGTGCGGTCCATGGCCCTTTATGGGGCCCCAGTATGGGCGGAAGCCCTGAAGTCCACCAACGTCGCACTACTGCGACGACCGTAGCGAGTGCTGGCCATCAGGGTCATAAAGGGGTACCGAACGATCTCCTTTGAGGACCGAGTCTCCTGGCCGAGAATCTATCTAAGGGACCTTGACCTTAAAATACTTGTTTTTATTTTAAAATGAAAAAGTGCTTTCTTACTGAGGCACCCATTATTACGAAAGGAGTTGCGTTTGAAAACATAAAATAGCAATAGTATTGGCTCTGCAATGCATATATGATGAAAATGACTCTAAATATCATAGTGGACACGCGGTCCCATAAATAAAATAATTATTGGGCTAAAAATTGTTCGTTATTGTTAGTAATACAAGCATTTCCCTCTTCTGGCAATGGGATTATAATATATTATCTAAGCACCTATCTACAAGGTTGATTTTAAAAAGGAAGACACACGGTTTTATGATGAAAAGGAAAAATAGAATATGAAAAGGCAAAGGCAAGGTGATCGCTTAAACCACTACGCCCTCCTTGCAACATCTGAATCAGAACACGTCACAAATAAATGCATATCTATAAGTATTCGTACGTACTTGTATGTAGGTAATATAATAGATATATATTGTACGTTTTCGACATGTAACTAGAGTAAACATGCATGTTATCTTATACAAGCAGTTGATAGGTACAAGAACTACGTGCCTATTGTATCTACTTATTGCATTAAAACTACCAAAAGGGTCAATCGATACTATATTAACGCGCTGATATAATTTTATCGTTTTGTAATATATTCTTATATTAAATAAGCCAAAGCTTCGAACTGTTGTGAAGAAACCGGTCGTGATTTATATTCCGTCCTTAATTGTGTGGAGGTGACATCTCAAATATATAAAAGAGGTTTATGTATCAAGACGAAATTTAGTTGAAGATGAAGACCTGGGTAAACGTGTTTTTAGTGTTTTACGCGATCTTGGCGGTAGCTATAGGTAAGTACATTTTTGTTTTTGGATAATTTTATAAACTACCGCAAAAGGATTGTGCCGCCTTATTGCAATCCTTCTTTTTAGCCTGTGTCATAAAAGTTAATAGAATAAAATATTATGCGTTTATGGGGCCAAGTACCTACAACATCTTAGAAATTAGACCTTTTAGTCGGAGAGAGGTTTATACTCGCCTTCTATACTCCTGAGAAGCAAAAAAGTGAATAGATTTTTTTCATTGAGTGACAACATGAGACAATGATCGAGCGAGTCGAGCTGTTGGTATCGAGATGTTGTGACTCTGTTATCAACATGAGCCCACGTTAACATCAGTATGACAACTTAGGTCAGGGATAACATGTAGTCATAAATATAATATGTGACCTGGCTTCTATCATATTAACAGTGCTTCATAAAATAATAGTTTTTTAAAAAATAATGTCACTTTTTATTACTGAAAAGTACCTACTGGCGTTTATCTTCTACCCATAATAAACAGATGACTTATTAAGTTATTTTTAATTTAATTTCAACATAGTACTAATGGCAAATTAATGATATAGACATAAACATTCCGTTATTATAACATAAAATAATAGCTACCATCTTAAATTGATATATCGCACCTTCGGTAGAACAAGGAACCAAATGCAGATTTGCAATTTCAAGATATTTTTTGCATTCAATATGGTCTTGATCTGTTAATATTGCACTAGAGTAGTTCTTCTTTGCATGACATAAACTATATACTACATTCTTTCTCAGCAAGTAATTATTTAGAATTATTTAATAATTTTATTCAAGGAAGGGTAACATTTGGGCCCTTGTTCCACCAACGTACGTAGTGTAAATTACTTAGTAGTTAAGACCCTATTTGTAATTATAAACTAGGCAAAAGTGTGGTTGATATGGGTCCTATCGTTCCAGAAATCAAGAACATTTATGTCAGCTTAATGCCAATTAGACAAAGCCACTATTTTGCCCTAATCGATTTTGAAGGAATTTATTGAATGTCTTAAGTCCTCCACTTGAAAGGATACTTAAAGCATTTCGGCTTACTTAAGTAACTCATTTTTGCAATTTTTGACAATTGTGCCATTGTTCTATAGAAGCAAGGTGCTATATATGTTTTGCCTAACTTATTATATGAGAGTTTATGTTGAAAATTTTGCATATGCGTTAGTGAGTACATACACAGTGTACAGTCTACATAAAGGACATAGGGTACAAGATAGGGTTGACAAAATCTATAATAATCCTAGTAAAGTGCCGGGCAAAAGCTACTCTAGTTCTGTTCTCTGTTTTATGACTACTTAAGCCCCCCAAAAAATTAATCAGCGTTACTTCATCCTACAAAAACAATGCAGAGTTTCATAAAATAAGTGAAATGTTTAATTTTTTCAGCTGAATGCCCTCCAGGAGAACATAATCCTGGTCCGAATTGCGGACTAGAGCCTTCGTGCGCTTCTAGGAGCTCACATTCGTATCCGAAGCACACATGTGATTGCTGGTGTCTGCCGGGCACGTATAGGAAGATAGAGACTAACACGTGTGTCTCATTAAGTGGCTGTGTATAATACGAGTAATAATAATATGAATAATAAATGTTAATTATAAGGAAACTAGTCTAATTTTTTATCATTGTGCACATATATTCAATAATAATGCTTTAAATAGATGGAGAACCCCACTTACAGAATTTATTTATCTAAATTTGATTTAAGTGGGGCTAAATACACCTTATCATAACATTCTGGAATCTAATGAAGAATTATTTGGGACATTACTCTTTTATATAAAGGTACGTATTAGAACTTGCCTAATACGTACCTTTATACCTTACCTATATATCGAATAATTTATTTAAGAGCAACATGTGCAGTAGAGATTTTTTATCTATACTTTTGCTTTTCATCTATAAAAAAGCAAAAAAGAACTGTAGTTAGTATTATTATGTAAGTGTATGGGCGGTCGCGTCACCTACCGATGCAGCATGCATATGACGCAGGTGCTCTCTGGGTATGGCTGCTTCGGTGAGTACCTGAATTGAATTGGACGCGAGGAGACGGCACAATGCCAGCACTGCGCGGCCGACTGGGACTCCGCCCAGCACACGCTAGAAGACTGCCCCGCGTGGGTGTCTGAACGCAAAGTCCTGGTCGATGAAATCGGACGAGACTTGTCCCCGCCAGCAATCATTACTGCCATGCTGGCGGGTGAGGAGGGCTGGGTCGCAGTGGTCTCTTTCTGTGAAGCTGTAATACTCCAGAAAGAGACCGCTGAACGGGATCGGCAGCGGGCGGATCCCGAGCGAAGAAGACGTCGGCGGCGGAATGAGCAGCCGACGGGACCGCGGGCCGCCAGAGAGTGGGCACCTCTGGTGGCAGATCAATTGCTGCGGCAGGGGATAGGATGGCAGGCCGCAAGACTGATAGGCAGGGAGAAGCCACAGGCTTTCCCTGAGATGGGGCCTAGTTAGGTGCGGCGTCGATCTAGGGGGACCTAAAATCACATGGCCCGGGTTCTAGTAGAGTAAGCCTAAGGCTGGCCGTCGGAGTGGTTTTTAGTGGAAACACCACATACTCCTGGCTCCTATATCCCCAAGGAGCCGGAGATCCGAAGGGATTTTCCATATATAGTATTATTATAAGTACGTACCTAGTACTAATTTAATTACTTCTTTCTTTCAGAGAATTGGGTGTTTTCTACTAAGCTAATTTTTACTTTTTTTTTTGTAAATACATATTTACAAAAAAAAAAAAGTATTCTATCAGTCAGTAAAGCTTTCATTGTACAAGCTCTGCTTAGTTTGAAACTAGATGGTGTTGTGTGTCAGATGGTCGAAATGTTATTATTGTATTATAATTCTCGATAAATTAGTATAAGGAAAAGTTTGTTTAGTATCAGAAAAAGTATGATAACAACTTTTAGCTTGTTTATTGATTAATGATGTATTGGACCTGTTTGGCGTTTGCAGTCACTGGATAACAGTAAATATTTTACCTTTTTTAAAATTACATATTCTATTATAACTTTTAATATTTGAAAAATAAAGTTGTTTTTAAATCATCATACTTAATTATCTAGTTATTACGCACTTATGGAGTGTAGAGGCAAGGAGAACCATCTAATAGGGGGGAATGTTGAAATAGTGTTCAGCTATATACTGAAAATAGAGGTTGCTGGCGAACCAAAAACTAATGTTATAGACGGAGTGAAAAGTGCTCAGTTCAAATATTATAATACTTTTATTGTCTGAAAGTTATTATACGTTTATTTATTGATTGTAAAACTCATGGACTATTTTTGCAGTCTAGTACAAAGTGTCTAGTTATTATTAGGGCCAAAATAAATTTATAAGGCTACCGCAGCGTCATCATTATTGGACGCGATGTTACGGAGACTTTTTATACACAGAAATGGTTTTCCTTGCCTTTACCCTCCATAGACATACTACAGTTTTGTGCTTATCCCTTTTATATGGGTACATACGTACACTGCTGCTAAATGTCGGATATTTCATGTTTACATTTAGAATCAAGTGCTAGAAAGCAAATCATTTATCACTGCCAATGCTATTCACCCGTTACTTAAATGATGGCCGTTATTTTAAAGGTTTAATCTAAAGTGCCTTTTAAACCATTTTGTGTGTAACATTGAACATTGTTTTTATAAATATCGCATTTAGACTTTACTAAAATACTTTAACAAATTTTCATTCATATAAATAATTAATTTAATTTCATCGTTATTTTCTTTCATTTAAATACTTTAACATATTGTAGGTGAAAAGTGTTGATATGTTGGATTTTTTTTTTCACAACCAGTGGTATCTCTTATTTTTTTAATAATGTAGTTTGAAATTTAACAGGCAGGTGGCGTCAACTTACTTTTCGGGTAAGGTTCAGTAGGTCTCTTCCCAATACAATGTGGCCAACCTAACGTTTAATAATAATGCTGAGTCGTATGTCCGTCTACTCGCCGCAGGAATATATAATAATGATTTCAACAATACACATCTCACACAAAGCCATCTGATCCCAGATTAGGCACAGCCTGTGCTATGGTAACCGGACAGCTGATAAACATACTTAAATATTTCTAAATACATACATGTATTATTATGGCTGATGATGATGATGATAGCTAAATAACACCCAGACACAATAAAATGATCGTGTTCATCACACAATTATTTGTCCTGGGTGGGAATAAAACCCAAGGAAAGCCATAGTATCAGGAAATTTCACATTTTTGTTATTGGTAAATATATATAAAAAAAAGGATAATTTGAATTGAAACCAAAAGAATAAGTTCACTTAATATTGTAATGTACTTACTATTTTATAATCTCTTTTTATTATTATTTTTTACTCTGACTATTACTTATTAATTCTGCCTATTGATGTAATGATTACATCTGTATCAGTCAACCACTAAATATCCCTCTGAAAACAACGTTTTATTCTCTTCGTATAAAACAATTACTTTAAATAGATCATTAATAAATGGTAGACACAATTGTGAAAAAGACAAATACCCTAAATTCGCTTAATTTTAAATAAAGATTGAAGTGCACGTATCGGCAATGCGTGGTGGGACTAGGGTTGCCAACTTTATTTGCCAAAAAAAACGTATATTATAGTTTGAATAGGAAAAAAAGTATTTGGAAAAAAAATAAAAAAAATGTGGGCTATATATATATATATATATTTTACGAGTATGTGCTAAAAGCACACAAAAATACGTTTTTAATACATTATTGCATATAAGCACATGCTAACAATTTCTTGCTATTCTTGAATGTTTAAAAATTGTTTGACAGGGAAAATTTAAATTTAAATAAATAAACAATTCGTTTTTAATTAAAATTATTGACGCTCTATTTCTCTCTTCTCGCCACTTTAGATTCATCACTGAAAAAACTCTTTCAGTGAATTGGCGGGAACGGAGAGTAAATAAGAAACAATTTTTTTTACATTTCGGGAAGCTATAAGATACATTTTAGTATAATATGCCATTACTCAACTGTACTTTTCTCTGAAAATTCTTTATCATTATTAGTGAATTTCTTTTGGGTCTCTTTAAGCCTTATTGACTCGGAATACAAATTGTCCATCTTAATATTTAATCTATCTTGTAATTTCGTCTTTGTAATTACCATTTCAAAAAGTTCAAATTTAACCTCATTTTTCAAAGACATGTTAGGAATTATTGAAAGCTAGTTATCTTCGCTAAAGTCGAACCATTTTGGACGGATTTTTATAAATCGATTAAATCAACCGTTTTAACTTATGTATACCGTTAAATAGTTAAGTAGCCATAACGAGTGTTTTGTTTTACGCATCACAGTAAAGGTTGGAAATAAAATATATTCGTATATTAAGTATTTCAATATTAGTATGCAAAAGTATAAAGTATAATTACCAAACATAAAGTATGGTTAGCAAATTGTATTACTAACATAGTTACAGAGCGTGACGATTATAATCTGAACAATTAAAATGCTTTATAAGATAATAACAAAGATTTCCAATACCTAATGTTTTCCTTATATGTTAATTTACATTAGACACTTGTGTGCTGGTAATCCTACTGTAAAACGTGCTAGATAGCCTTCGAGACCCTAAAATGCATAAATATTCGCAGTAAAACATTTTTTCCTTCTAGTATTATCTAGTATAGAAGATGCTCAGCACACTTACAGGAAATTTTTACTCGAGTCTGCTTGGAATTTTTTTGTGTATAAACATTTGTAAATATATACACAACCCCACGTATGGAGGAGTGTTTACCGATGCCTTTATATCCTCATTCCAAATCAAATCTGATGCACTCTAATCGTAGTAAATCTTGTCTCTTAAAACATAGGGTTCTTAATCGAATATTTGGTATCCTAATTAATATGTTTAATGGGTAAATGGGGAAATTCCTACTAATATTATAAATGCAAAAATCAATTCGTTTGTTATTTGTTACGATTTCATGTCTTAACAACTTAACCGATAATATTAAAATTTTGCATAAAGTTAGGAGCACATAAAAAGGACATAGTGTAGTTTCGTCCAGAACCGGCAAAAGAACTTTGCCGAAGCTGTAGAAAGGGCCTAGTATGATGTAAACACAATCAAGTAACTTGATATTCGGACATAGTAGTCTAATCCCTTCCAAAATAAATAAGTCATATCAAAGAACCTTAGAATAAATTAAACTTATCGATGGTCATTCAGGGGAAGTCTCGAGAGACGGCAGCGTATTGTGACTTGTCAGGACCTGACAGGTCGCTTTCCATGACCAGGGAATGTTGGGAATAACCACCTGCATAATTATACCCTGTTGTTTTTGCACGTAGCATGAGGTAATGCTATGTGCAAAAACAACAGGGTGAGACACAAATAAATGTGTCAAGTTTATATCTCCTTACAAATAATTGATGATTTTCTGTGTAAAAAATTTAGGTTATTTGCTTAGTCAGACCCAGGTAATATACTCGTGAATTTAAGTCAACCAAATCGCTCGAAGTATAATAAAAAAATCGTGTCAAAGTAAAGTAATACTAAAATCTGATCGCAATGCCATTTTTGAGTCCAATAATTGTGTCTCTAAACTAACTACGAATTTTATTAAAAGTTTAAAATTAAAATACTAGAACCCGGTTGAAGCGATACCTACCATGAATGATTATTTTCATTGATAATAATAAATTAGTTTTACCTGGTTCATGGTGTCCATGACAAACGCAGTTTCAGACTGTCTTCGTGTGATAAGCAACGACATCGAAGTTCAACATTCCATCATTGCGTCATCGAATCGTAACCCTGAACCATTTTTTCCGACTGATTGTTAAGTATTATCTATGAAAAATTGTTTAGTGTTTACTTATTTTAGGGAGAAGCATGTCAATTGTCATGTTATGAACAAAAGGTGTGTATGTCTATTATTTTCACATTACGTCAATATAAACGAGAACATTCATGAACATCCATTTTCATTGCCATGTTCTTACGAGTCGCGTCTCAAACTCTTTAAACTCAATTTATTGAATAGTTAGATATGTTACTCATTTGAACTTGGCAGTACTTATTTTAAGATATAGTTAAAATCTCGGAGACTATTTTATGTTGTTCATGCGTGTCTAACGCGACAACACACCATAACTGACGCAGGTACCAGAAAAAGACAAAAGACAATTAGTTGTTTCTGCTGGTCATTTGCGATGAATGTAAAAAACAATAAAAACGCGTTATAGTTATACGAATTAGCGGTGACTGATATACGAGGCAAAAAGTTATATAAACTCAGATGTGTCAGTGATAATGCATTCTCATTTATCTGTGTGTGCCGTCAACATGCGATCGTGTGCTATTATTTTATTTGTGGTTTTGGTTTTTCTCAAACACTCGTTTGGTGAGTTTTATTTATTTATGAATTAGATACGGGCTTAGACATTTACAATTAATATCTTCCTACAATATAAGTTTCATTGTTTTTGTTATAATTTATTGCTCTATCATTTTTATTTTGGTTACCCATGCTATGTCCGTTTGCGGGCCAAGATCTTTACTATACCTACCTGTTAGTGTCGTAAATTCAAATCAAGACGTTTTTATTTAGTACATCATGTAACATAAAAAAAACATTTTCATACAATACAAAACTGTTAACAGCTAAAAGTTAATAATATTTCCAAGTGCGATGAATATTTCTAAGGTTCTTTGATATGACTTACCTTAAAGTACTCACTTCTGTGTTTAAACATTAAACCCAGTCGGTACTCGTGCAATGGTAGACTAAGGTATTCTCTAGGATTCTACCAGGTGATAAAAAGATATGACGGAGTATATGCATATGTATGTCGTTTAAGGTTATCTAATTTACAATAGGTCAATATACAACTGTGTCACAGTTTCGTTAATGACATCAAATGTTAACCATCTATAATAATTGTCAGCTTTTATTAGACTTCAATGTATAACAATGATAATAATAATAACTTCACACATCTCACACACCACAGTGGGATCTCGAACTAGGCAGAGCCTGTGTTATGGTAACCAGACTGCTGATAAACATATTTATATATTTCTAAATACATACGTATTATAGATCAATTACACCCAGTCACAGGACAAAAAAACGTGCTCACCACACAGCTATTTCTCCTGGGTGGGAATCGAACCCTCGACCTCCGACCACTATCCACTAGACCAACGGGCCCGTCGAATGTTATGTTGTATTTGAAGTAGTAAGGTTATTTTCCTCATCCATTTATTATTCACTACTAGCAATCAAATAACTTGTAAATAGTTCGATGTGTCTTTTATGTGGAAGTCGATTATTAGAACAGTGGCCATTGGTCAGATACGAGTATATTAAAGAAATGACGGATCGTTAATCATGAAATTGGCAATAATTTGAATTGTTCTTGCACGGGAGTAATAGAATAATTAGTGAAATAAAATATTAGGAAATGCAGTAAGTATCTCTGTAGTGCCTCTGATAAAGAATGATATGTATACCTATTCTGTAGTAGCGTAACCTTCAGGCTCCTGTTTGAGGCTTTCCGAAAACTGTTTTAGTTTTCTGCGAATTGAATGGGTAAAATTAGTAATTATTGATTTTTGTTTTTGAATGGAAGAGAGGACAAACAAGCAGATGGGTATGAAAGCCAGCAACTCAGGAGTCACAAGCGCGTTGCGCTTTTTCTTCAAATAAAAACATTTCGAATTAGATTTTTCATTAGTGACCTAAATTGTGAAGATTGTTTGCTGGCCCGTTGGCGTAGTGGGTAGTAGTAGCCCAGAGTACTAAGCCAAAGGTCGTGGGTTCGATTGCAACCCCAGACAAATAATTGTGTGATGAGCACGATCATTTGTTCCGGGTCTGGGTGATATTTATCTATCATCATCATGATCAGCCTATCGCAGTCCACTGTTAGACATATCCCATAGCATTATCTATAATATAAATGTATTTAGAAATTTATAATTTTATTAATCAGCAGTCTTGTTGGCATAATACAAGCTGTGCCTGGTTTGGAATAAGACTGGCGTGTGTGAGAGATGTGTATAGTTGTTATTATTATTTTAAGGTTTTATGGACTTGGGAGGGGTCTTCACGGCATCCCATGACCGATTCACAATAGTTGGTGCTAGCGAATTTGCTATATTTGTTCCTTTTACTTAGGTAGGTAGTATATCCAGTACTGTACTAGTACGGTGGTAAATGACGCTAAAGACCTAGTTCCAATATCGAACCGAATTTCGACAATTTTTTAATTGCATGATAAGGCTTTAATAGTCTGTTATTATTATTTTAGTACCATTATTAATTTTGTGAAATTCAACTCTTTTCAGCTACTTGTCCATCAGGAGAGTACAATCCTGGCCCCGATTGTGCATTCGAGGAGATTTGCGGTCTACCGACAAGTCATTCCGCAAGAGATCACTATTGCGACTGTTGGTGTATGCCACCACTTATAAGAGACACTATATCGAATCTTTGTGTGACGGAATGCCCTGAAGTATTGCCGCCATAGCTAGTTCCTAATTTGATTTAATTTCTCAGCTAGTGTGCCAAATAAAAAAAAATAGATAATTGCTATGTGCTTCGTTCCTGGAAACAAGGATGATCAAAGGAAATTTATAATGTTTACTATGGAAATGGCCAACAAAATATAAACAATATAAGTTGTGTGACTAAAGTTCTACTTAACTGTACTTTTAGTGTTCTTTATTATAAGAAGTTATTACATATTTGTAGTAAACATAATACCTAACTTATGAGTCAACTCAATAATACTTAAGTAGTCATTTGATGAATAATATAGGACAGACACACAACCTTTTACAGAAAATCATAATAATAACACATTATTTGTCATATCCTCTTGGTCAACACAGTCGTACATAAGTATGAATATTGTATTTCTAATAGGCAACCCCTACCAAGGCTGTCTGTATACTATCATATAAATAGTCTTTTATTTTTGTATCCAAAATTACATGTAATGTAAGATTATTAAGAAAAAAGATGTTGATCGTAGATTAGTCAGACTTATGTTTCTTAGAATCAGAACATCGTATGTTTGACAGTTTGACAAATTGTTTGGACCTCCTTCTTGTATTTTATAATAACCGAGGTAGCATAGATACACGTAGGAACGAACAAAATTAAATCAAAAAACCGTTTCGGAGCCTATGTGCTACTAGTACTTCCGATAAAGAGGGCGTGAAACCTACACAACAAAATGAGATACTTCTTTTATTATTTACTTTTTTTCACTGGAATTAAAAATCCATATACATGGTCTGTCTGGAGGTCACATTCACAAACAGTACTCTCAACAGTGGTGGCAGACGAACATTGGCTTCTGGCCTGTCTAACTTTGGCACTTAACAAAGTGGCCATATTTAGCAAGTACCTATGTCAGCCGTTACGAAATTGCGCCTTATCCCCCCTGCAGTATAACGGGTTTTACCTCCACAATTAAGGCGTGTCCCTAGTTTTTTCTTTACAATGAATTATATTCTGATTGATTTATAAAATCCGTTTAGTAAAAATCTTATTTTCTCAGACTATACGGGTTGAGTACGACACTTCCACACATACAATACATACCTAATGTTTGAGATAATTAATATTCCTATAACATGCGTAATGACTAAATTACGCATCTGTAATGACTAGATCAAATTCCTCATAAAGCTTTGTTATATTTCTTATAGTATTTCATGATTTTTAATTTATTTTTTTCAAAAGGATCCCTAAAAATTAATTAATTAATTGAATGATCACTTTGCGGTTTTTTGAAGCTGTAACAAATCAGTTTTCTAATTGACTCAGAAGGAATAAATTTTAAAATTAAAAGTTAAATCAGATTAAATTAAATATTTATTTATAACATAATATTTGTAGTCCTGAAAAGTTAAGTTACTTTGGAAAAACGGTGCAAAAATCTTCTAAGAGCGATGCCCGGGTGCGTTAAACTATCTACGCAAAACTTTGTTTGCTTAAGAAACCTTCGGAGCGTGAGACAGACTGTAATTGAAATTGTATTAGATAGTTACTCTTATATTCACTATCTAATCCAATTCCAATTATCAGCAGTTAACCGCAAAGGTAGTAATGTTTGGAAAATCTTACCAGTATAAAATAAAAGTCACCGTTGGAATCTAGGTATATAAAAAAAAAAGCCAAGTGTGTAGGCTATAGACTTATGTAAGCTATGAATAAAGAAATATTTTTAATGTTTTTTTTATATATCTAGTGCTAGTTTTAAGGATAATGGTCAATTTCGCAAATTCAGGGGCAAGCCTATTGCTTGTTAACCGTTGTGTTAAGAAAACAATGACGCAACCTGACCAATCAGGCTCCAAGAAATTATTGTTTCGCATAAAAGCTTGGAACCTAATTAGTCAGGGCTTGGCTTGATCGATTTGTCAATATTTTCTTAAAGCGAATGGCCTAAAGTAAACATTTTTAACTATTACTATGGAAATGATGAAAGTCATTGTGGAACTGTCAATGTGCAACGAAGGACGATCATCTCCTCTCAGTTACGGTATTGATGTTCAGTTTTCGGTAATTTATGCTTACAGTTGAGATGCATAATATATAGGTAAGTCAATGAGAAGGAGTTTCTTTATTCTTTAGGGGCTACGATCTAAAACTGAAGATGACTGCCATTATCCATGACTTGGTCGAACAGGTGTAAAATCCATTTGAAGCTAATAATTATTTAATAAGGTGTTTGGGATATGTTCAAGTTATTTAAATTACTTGACTTGAAATATTATTTGTTTGGGGAAAGGATTAACTGTACGGAGAAACGACGAAAGTTGGTTTCTGGAGAAGCTGACCGGTTTCTTGATATTATTAGTACAACATCATCGATTTGGGTTTTCTTTAATGTAATTCTTGTAGTTGCTGCCATCACGACTATTTAGTTAAGCGATAAGAATCAGCTAATGATAAAGGCTGTTAATACATACCGAAAGTAGTAAATAGTGAGTATATCATTGGCTCCAAGGGTTTTTTTTTAGTATGCGTAGGTATATTACAAGTTTTGATGTAAATAATTGTTGGTAAACCTTAATAAATAAATAACCCTTAACAATAATGTGATGAGTGATGAGCTAAGATACGGTTTTTAACTTTGTAATAACTGTATAAAAAAAGGCTATAACAATTTATCATGTTTGGGACTCCTTGAAGTCGGTCATACAACTATTAGCGGTTAATCAAACTTTTCGTGTCACTAAGATGCGTTACTGGCCTTCTAAAGACTGCATGAGACCAGCCGTCGGGGTAGTTTTTAGTGGAAACACCAAATACCCTGCGTCCCATAGGAGATGGAGATCCGAAGGGATTTTCAACCCCGTCACCAAAATAAAAAAAAGGATGCTTTACTAACTACTTTCTAGATATCATTTTTAAAACATTTACAGAATACACAAGACACATTTATTTTTACTTCTTCATGTTTAATATTGATTCACTTACTATATACTAATAATAATTTTATTTTTTGTATTCATATATAGGTCATTTTGAAATCATAAGCGCCCACTGTCTTATCTTTAGCCTCGATATAAAAATATGTCACTGTTTGAATACAATATTTACAAACAAATAAATAATATTATAGAATTTTATTGTGTACATGCCCTGATAATAATACATCATTACACAAAGAAGTGAACAACTCGTAAATAACATTATGAAAATTCTTCTGCGTAATTATTGTTAATTAAATATTCATTTAAGTAACAATATTTTAAACTTAGGGCTGTCCGCAACAATTCTTAAGATAAGTGTAGTACTTTTAATTTATTAAATATTAGAAGCAGATTATGAGTGCAAATGCATTTTCTATTTCTTAACTAGTTCGTTATTTATAAAATGGTACCTAACGATGTCAAAGAAAGAAAAAACCTTTTTTTTATTTTCTCAGAAAGTTTACCATATTGTATTTATTTAATACTTATTTCTGTTACAAGAGTTATCAAATCTACTTAAACAGTGTATTAAACTACATATATTGGTTAACAGTACAACAGAGGTTCTGTTTTAAAATATCATTATACGGGCTGTTACATACCTAATTTTAATGCTATAGCATAAAATTCAATACAATATTTCAATATATAACTTGCAATAACAGCAGAATGATGTGAATTTGACATTGTAGATCAGCAATAAATTTTCAGAAAAGAACTCTAGAGCAATAGTCTCCAGGTCTATTCTGCCCTTCGCTCAGACTAATTATACGCGTATAATCCGTGCTAAGTGGTGTAGTATAAATTTGAGTCGTAAAAATAAATAATTGTGATAGTCAGTGGTGTTTCTTTGAAGTGCCAGACTGTCCAATATAACATGCCGTAGGTACACAGAACATCAGGAGAGGTAGGTAAAAATACACAAAAGGTAACATAACTGCAATAAATTTAGCACAATCTGAAAAACATCCTGACACACGACAAATCGTTAAGAAATACTAGAAACTTGGTGCCTTATATGTTTACATACATTGTTATGGACAATGTGACCTGATTCTCTTTATTCGCAAGTACATGACTCACACACAGTGATCTCAATCTTAAGCCCTTGTTCTAATTTATGAATCTAGATCATTCTCCTCCTTCTTTGTAGGACGTAACCATTACTTGAAGATCATAGAAAACCTTGGGGGTGTCTGAATCCTATAGTCCTCGATTAAATTGTCGGATGAGGCGAATGTATTAGATTTACAAATTCACATAAGCAGCTTGGCGTTTAACATTTATAACAGCAATAGGCGTAGAAGTAAAATATATTTTTTATAATTTATTCATTTAACACTTCCTACATATCACAAGCTGGACTTAATCACATATACGAGTATATACAGAAATTATTAATAATTTTGGTCCGTGATAGACATGCTATAGTTAGATACTCCCTCCGTGATGAAAGAATGTCACACCCATTATTTTGAACGTTTGCCTGTACTGTTTATTTTAACTTTGTTTAACGCCTGCCAAGAATACTTAGCATCACTCAAGCCTAAGGTACATATGTATTTATACAAATATTCCTTAAATTTAACTGAAACATACAGGGTTTCTTTATAAAACCTCATTTTCAAGTCTATTAAAAAGTCAATCAACAGTTATCAAGATAGATGAAACGAAATTGGTGTGGAATTGCCCAATTATCGAGGCACACCTAGAAGTAATTGCTCTATCATAACAGTGCAAAATGTGTCATTTTATTGTATGCACATATAGTTCTATACTAATATTATAAAGCTGAAGAGTTTGTTTGTTTGTTTGTTTGAACGCGCTAATCTCAGAAACTACTGGTCCGATTTGAAAAATTCTTTCAGTGTTAGATAGCCCATTTATCGAGGAAGGCTATAGGCTATATATCATCACGCTAAGACCAATAGGAGCGGAGCACCAATGAAGAATGTTTCAAAAACGGAGAAAATTTATTACTATTGGTCAGCTAGTAGTACAATAAATATGTTATTGTGAATAAAATTAATGTTGGTTT